TCTTCTGTCAATCCCTCTGTTAATCCTTCCTGACACAGATTTCTGATAGGAATTATAAGGTTTATTATTCTGTTGGCACTTGAGTGAACAAATTATGATAAATGTAACAGTTCATGAACTCAATATCCAGTTTAATATTATTCTTTTATTTATTTTATTTTTTATTTATTTATTTTATTAGTGAAACACCATGAGGTACAGTTGTAGACTTACAAACGTTCGTGCTTGGGTTTCAGTCATACAATGATCGAGTACCCATCCCTCCACCAGTGCCCATTCTCCACCACCAATGATCCCAGTAGCCCTCCCACCCCCACACCCCCATCCCTCCCACCCCGCCTCTGTGGCAGGGCGTTCCCTTTTGCTCACTCTTTCCTTTAGGGTGTTGTAGTTTGCAATAGAGGTATTGAGTGGCTATCATGTTTGGTCTATAGTCTACATTCAGCTTGCATCTCGCATCCCGAGCAAGTCCTCCAAGCATCCTTTACTTGGTGTTCCCTTCTCTATCTGAGCTGCCTTTTCCCCCAGCATGTGAGACTGGTCAAAGATGTTTTTAAAATAAATTTGTAATTTTTGTTTTGTTTTGAGGCCACACCTGGCCTCAGAGCTCACTCTTGGCTCTGAGCTCAGGCATCACTCCTGCTGTGACTAAATGTGGGATAGGGGATTGAATCTGGATTGGCTGCATGCAAGGCAAATTCCCTACCTGCTGTACTATCACTTGAGTCCCAACAATTTTATGTATTTTTAAAAGCACGAAAGGTAAAACAGAACTCTATTGACTGTTTTGCATACCTTATAATTTCATACTGTTTTTATTTTGGGTTGTATTGGAGGTTGCCATGTGATTGGGTCTCTCGCTAAATATCATAATCTGATTTCAGTAATGGGTCAAGGTAGTCTAGGGAAGCTACTTTTCCAGGGATGATGTCTGAGGCTATGATCCCCACAATTTCTTGCTCCTGCAGCATCTCTAAGGCAACTAACAGAAAGTAGTTAGAAAGAGAAGCTGGAACTCTTCCCTAGTGCAGCAAAATTACCACTCCATCTGCACACTCTTTCTTGGTTCCCATGCCTTCTCCCTTGACAGGGAGTTAAAAAAAATCTATCGACATGCTTAGGGCTCCATACATAGATCCTCAACTTTGCCCAATTTCCTATAGATTGAAGGCTTCTCATTATATACTTAATTTTACAGCTGTGGAAGGCATACAAGGAATCTAAGAACTTCCTTCCCTTGTTCCATGAAGCCATGTATTACGTATGTAGCAAAGGGGGCAAATCATATTCACTTGATCACTTGACTTCCTGTTAATTGTCGATTTGCTCAAGTGGGCGCCAGTAACGTCTCCATTTGTCCCTGTCGTGTGCTAGTGTAGCCCAATGGCATCTATTCGCTCTAGGAACACGAAGAGCCTCAAACCGATCGTTCATGATCTTGATGAAGAAGTCTGACCATCTGGTAGGTGGACGGCCATGCGGTCTTTTGACATCCCGTGGAATCCAGTCGGTAACAGCTCTAGTCCAGCGGTCGTCTTTAAATCTCATTACGTGACCAGCCCATCTGATTTTTGATGCCTTGGCAAACAAGACAGCGTCCCTGATTCTTGATTGTCAACGGAGGTTGGAACTCCGGATTCTTTCTCTCATTTGAGTGAAACATGATATTCCAAGCATAGCTCTTTCAATTCCTCTTTGGGAGATCCGAATAGCATTCTCATCCTGTTTGCATAGGGCCCAGGTCTCTGAGGCGTACGTTAATGCAGGAAGAACAGTGGAATCAAAGAGATGTGTGCGGAGCCGGAGGTTCTTCGTCCTCTTAGCTATTTCTTCGATGCTCTTGAAGGCATTCCAAGCCGCTCTCTTCCTCCTGTGCAGCTCAGGTGCCAGGTCATTTGTCATGTTGACTTCTCAACCTAGGTACACATAACTGTTGCATTCGGAGATGGTCGTTCTGTTGAGAGCTAATGGAGTGTCAGGAACGAGGCTGTTTCTCATAAACATTGTCTTCGTAAGATTCAGCTGTAGTCTGACCTTTCCACACTCACGGTCAAAGTCGGCCAGCATTTGTGCCACTTGGCTAATGTTTGGTGTTATTAAAACAATGTCATCAGCAAAGCGGAGGTGGTGTAGTTGCCGACCATCTATCTTCACTCCCATTCCTTCCCATTCCAGTTGTCACATGATGTTCTCGAGGGTGGCACTGAAGAGTTTCGGTGAAATGGTATCAAACTGCCGAACCTCTCTCTTGACATCAATGATTACGTCTTTGTAGAATGGTGAGATCCTGGTAGTGAATCCGTAATACAGCTCACGGAGGATCTTGATGTATTGAGCTTGAATGTTCTGATTGGCTAGGGCTTCAATGACCACTTCCGTCTCAACAGAATCAAAGGCCTTCTTTAAATCAGTGAACATTAGACAGAGCAGCATCTTGAACTCCTGAGAAACCTCAATGAGCTTGGTTATCATGTGGATATGGTCGATGGTGCTGAATCCTCTGTGGAACCCGGCTTGCTCGCATGGTTGTCCTTCATCTAGTGTTCTGCCAATCCTATTTAGGATGACTCGAGTGAACAACTTGTAGATGACAGACAATAGGCAGATCAGGTGATAGTTGCCAATGTCATGGATGTCTCCCTTCTTGTACAATAGTACAGTCCTGCTGGTTTTCCATTGGGATGGAACCTTGCATTCACACAGGTAGCGTGTGAGGAGCCGAGCCAGCATATTGCTGGGTACTGACGGCAGGTTCTTCAGGTGTTCAGGTCTGACCTTGTCTGGGCTGGGTGCTGTTCGTTTCTTTACTGACAAAATGGCGTGTCGGATTTCGGAAGGGAGAACATTGGGAATCACATATCCATCCTGTGGAATTTGCTATGTCGGCAAGTGGACATGGCTATTGAAGAGATTTGAGTAGAAGTCATGGATAATCTTCTCCATTGCCATTCTGGAGGATGTGATGGATCCATCAGGACGTCGGAGGGCAGTCATCTTGGTCTTGTAGTTGGCAAAGGACAGGCGGGCGTTACGAATACTTTTCCCGGCTTCTGCCGCATCTACCAACACTTCTGCTCTTCTCTCTTTGAGGTCTTCTTTGATTGCATCTCTGCACTGCTTTGCAAGCTTGGACGTTCGCTTGCGGTTGCCTGAGGCATGCGCCAAACCACGTTGGCGAATAAGCTCAAGAGTTTTCGAAGACAGGCATTTTTTTTTTTTTTTGTGGCTATGTCTCTCTTGGCATTCCTCGCACATTCATGGAGGTGCTGAACCAGTCGATCGTATTCCTCGTCAATGTTGTCAACAATGGCATCTTCCCATGTTGCAGCAATAGTGCCAAAGAGCTCCCAGTTGGTGGTCGTTCTGGGAGTTCTTTTTTTAAACTTTGCAGCCCTTTCTCCCCGCTCTGTGAAGTAGAATTTTGCATGAAGGAGACGGTGGTCCAATCCCATTTGGAATTTTGGGACAACAGTGACATTGGTCAGGCAAAACGGTCGATTGAATATGATGTGGTCTATTTTGTTGTGGAACTGTCCACCAGGAGACTCCCATGTCCAACGTTTAGATTCGGCCTTCTGGAACTGTGAGTTACCCTGGATGGTCTTGGTTGACATGATGAACTCAGACAGTCTCTCACCCTGTTTGTTCCATTCTAGGCCATGGGTCCCGATGTGAAGTTCTTCAGCTGATCTTCTCGGTCCTATCTTGGCATTAAAATCACCCACAATGATCTTGTAGAAGGTGTGGTCTTCTTTATAGAATTTCTCCAGTTCCATGTAGAACTTCTCAATTTCTCTTTCATCATAATTAGATGTTGCTGCGTAGACAACGAAGATAGAAACTGCTGACAGTGAGCCACATCTATTTGAATGTAAACATCTGATTCGGGTTGTTAGGCATTCGAATGAAGCTCATGGCCAAGTTTGTGTTGACAAGGACACCGATGCCTCCGACACCTCTTTTATCGCATGTTCTGAGGAACAATTCTTCTCCAGTGTTGAAAACGGCATGATGAGATTGGTGCCTTCTTGTCTCAGTCAGACCAATGATGTCATACTTGATCATTCGCGCTTGTACCATCAGGTCCTCAATGGATGCATCTGATGCTAGCGTACATGCATTGAAAGTACAGATGATATTAGTATGATTTAATTCATCAGCTAGGATGAGTTTATATAAGCCAGTAGCTAATCATTCACATGGCAGTAAACAATGCCTATGCTGGGAAAGAAACATCTGAATTTTTAGTTTCTCTTACAGGGCAAGGTCCTGAAGGTACTTCAGAGATTATACAAAGCAATAGGTTCACTACCAAGGAAACTGTGATATAGAAAGAAGTGATTTATTTTACTACTCCCCCCAATCTCTATCCAAGCATTATACAAGAGAGTTTATTCATTCAGGCTACCAAAACCTTTAGCAGCCCAACTGAGTGATCACCCAAAGATTAATACTTTGAAAGAGGAGATCCAAAGGGAAAATTTTAGGAGGGAGGAGGTACATTTTGATCTTCGTTATGCTGATAAGTCCTTAGGTTTCCCACACCTAATGATCTGGGGTCTTTTTCTATGACATGAGGTTGAACTTGATGTTGATAGGGTCAGTTCCTCCTGCTGTGTGAGGATGCCTCTCTAGCTGCTGAAGTCATCTTTAGTGTTTGACTGAGGCCCCTGAAGCCTCGGATCTCAGAGCATCTTCTAGAACAGCAGGCTCACTTCCATGGCAGTTGAGAGGTGGGGTTCTCTGCCCACTGGCTTCTTGACCAGAAATGGGAGGGAGATGGTAGTTCTGTGATTCCTGTCTACGGATGCAAATGACTCCTGTCTACAGATGCAAATGGCCCACATATGGGGATATTCACTTTTGCAAATCATGTGTTTTTAAGTTAAAAGATAAAATGCTCATAGTTTGGTAAAAGTAAGAGAGGGCTGGGAAGCGAAGTAGGCAGCAGAAAGAATATTTGTGGTTTCCCTGCCAGCTCTGTCTTCTTTATCTTTTAGACAGAAGTCAACTTCGAACAGGACCCCAGATCCTCTGACAGGCACGAGTATTTACAGCACAGTCTGACAGGACTGCAGGCGTTTACAGAATATGCAGTGGCTCTCCGGTGTGCTGTGAAAGAGTCAGTGTTCTGGAGTGACTGGAGCCCAGAAAGTTGGGGGACAACCGCGGAAGAAGGCAAGCTGGTCACTTGTAATTTTATTTCTTCCTGCTCTGGCTGAGGGCCTCGGGACTGACCTGGGAAGTCTTGTCAGACCCTTACCTGGAAATCATGGAGCCCTGGGATCCCAGAACCCTGACAGTCTATCCTTTCCTTTCCTCAGGCTTGGCTCACCTGTGCTCCTGTGCTGGAAGGACTGGGTCCCTCCTGCGACAGCATGTGTCACCTTAGCAGCTTTTTTGTGTGTGTGTCAAATGCAACAGATCATGTCTTTAGAACATTTACAAAATTCTATATATATATATACACATATATACATATATATTAGGACAAGACAGTTGATGCAGTGGGTAAGGTGCTTGTTTTGTACTCGGCATACCCAGCTTTGATTCTCAGCAACTCCATTTGGTTCCCTAAGCCTCTCTAGGAGTGATCTCTGATTGCAGAGCAGGAGTAAGCCTGAGTACCTCCAGGTACAGCCCCCAACACCTTGCTTCCCCCTGAAAAATAACACATGAATAAAAAGCAAGCAATGGCATTGAGCAAATCATTTTTGCCCTTTACTGCACCTTTCAGAGACTCTTGAGAGACTGAGAACTGAGATCTAACAATGGTGAGATCCTGTTTTACACAACTACTTCTCCCTGCCTGTCAGTCTTCTCTGCAGTGACCTCCTGCCCCAGTACAGGGTCTCAGGTTACTCAGTGCACTTCGGACACTTTCTAAGGTCACTTTTAATTTCCTGTTTTGCATTCAGAAGCATGATTAACCATTTCATAGAGATTTATTCTTTCAATAAGCCTGGCTTAGGTATATTAACAAAACATAAGAACCCAATGTTCTCTGTGTTCTTGACTTAATTGAATCATATAACTATTTATTAAAGTTACTGCTAGGGAGCTTTTGCTTTTCACTTTTTATTTTCAAGACCCCAGAGGAAATTGATGAAAATGGTGTGTATAATCCTCACAGGCTAATTTCTTATTTTCTAATTTATCACCTATTTTCATATTTCACAATAAAATTTCAGTTCTTTAAGACACACCATTTCAATCGTTTTCTAATGGTTTGAAAATTTTATTTTGAATTGAATGTTAAACACTACATTTTGTGGGATTGGGGGGGTAGGGCAGGGAACTACTGGAGATCTAACTCAGGGCAACATATATGAGAAGCAATCCCTCTAGCCCTATACACTTTTGGATTTTAATGTATTGAGTTGAAGATTATTTACACACATTTAACTACATAAATGTTTATTGCATGACATGGATATGATTAGACTTAAATCTTGGCTTTATCACTTAAAAGCTGTGCTGTTAGTCCAGTTGCTTAATCTCTCTCTCTCTCTCTCTCTCTCTCTCTCTCTCTCTCTCTCTCTCTCTGATTAAAATTAGAGACAATATTGGTGCACCTAATAATATGGCTGTGGGATTAAATTGGATAATTCAGGAAAAATTTTTGATTTAGTGACACTTAGCATTATTAGTTTTTAATGTTTTTGTTTGTTGGTTTTTGCCTCCCTGAGGACCTGGGGCCAATTCCAGTGATACTTGGCCAACAAGGTAGATGGTTGGTTCATTGTTAGAGTCTGAATATATATTGTTGCTTGGGTCCTGCAGTGCTAGAATCCACCAAGGTCAGTGGCTGTGCTTGGAAGTCAACAGAGCAGCACCCAGCAGCACTAGGAGGCCTTTAGGGATACATTCAGAGGCGCTGGGGTGGGGGTGGGGCAGAGTGAGGTTATGTGATATCAGGTATCACACTGGGGTCCTATATATGCAAAGCCTATATTCCTGACTCCCAGAAAGTTTGCTGTACTTGTTGCTGGTCTTTGGAAAAGGCACTCATATGTGTTGGAAGTATCTAATTGGCAGTGGTTGTGGGACTCCAAATAATAATAGAAACAGCATAGCATCAAATTAGTACAGTGTTAGTTCAACAATTGATGTCTTTGAATATATAAATATTATGATGGTACTGGAAATTTTCATTTCATGTCTTCAGAAATAAAAATTTATCCCCAGGCTAGAGTGATAGTACAGTGGGTAGGGTGTTTTCCTTGCATGCAGCCAACCCGGGTTTGATCCTTAGCATCCCATATGGTCCCTCAAGCATTGCCAGGCATGATTCCTGAGTGCAGAGTCAGGAGTAATCCCTGTGCATCGCTGAGTGTGACCCAAAAAGCAAAAAAAAAAAAAAAAAATTATCCGCACCCTACCCCCTTTGACCAAACACAAATTCACTGTTCATTAGTAGTTGATGGAAACTTTTTAGTAATGCCTATAAATACGCAGTAATTTTACTCCAAGCTACATCTATAAGAAATTTGTAATAAAAAAAAACCATTTCTTGGTTCATTTATCTGCAGGAAATAGTAGCCCCTATGAGATATAACAAAAAACAAAACTGGTGATCTTCATTGTTAACACCTACTGAAACTAAATCACTGTGTATGGCACAAATCTAAGGAAAATTACATGCATATATTTAGTCAAGTGAGCAGAATGATTGATTATTTAATTTTAGCCTTTCTCCTTCAGGTGAATACGTGGGACTAGATTATAATGAAGAGTTTGCCTTTAGCTCTTTTTTCCTTACTACTTATGTTATTATTCCCCTTGATTCTAACTTCTACGTATTTGGAACATCTTATGAGGATAAGAGCTCTTCCAATTGTTGAGTCAGTTTTGAAGAGTTAGTAACTTAGTAGCCTTGGGCTAGGGCTGTCTGGAAAGAACTCTGTCTGCTCACCTATAATTGTTTGTGGACGGACTGAAAGCAGCCTTGTTTCATCTCAGAAAGTGGAATACAGGCTGTCCTGCCTTCTTAGTCAGTGGAGGCCTCTTGGAAACTTCTGGCATAATTTTTAAGAGCAAATCTTAGTGGAAAGTAGATGAAATCATATGTCAAGTCTAAACCTTCCCAATGTCCTTATCTTCAGTTATAAGATACTTGAAATCAAACTAGCTTGTGTTAGGAGCCTTGAGCCCAATGATTAGACTGCTTTCTGCAAAAGAATTGTAGAAATGTGACTCTTTTGATGACAAAACAGCTTACTGACTTAGTTTTCCTTTGGCCCTTTTTATACACTATGAAGACATTTCAGCTGAAGTTAAGTAATTTCACTTTAAGATACTTAAATCACCTAAAAGTTAAAAGATTCCTAGAGATGGGTCTAGGGCTCTCTGGAAAACCAACTGACCCCCAACCTTGGCACCTCCTACAGAGTGATTTTGATCTTGACTTAGGTGGTGAATTCCCTTCTTTGAAGACCTGATCATGTGATTTCAGAGTATAACAAGTACTGCATGGTTTCTGCACTTTCCCGAAGTACAGGCTATTAACCTTCTGGGTTTTTTATTTTCTGGTGTTGGATGAACCAGAGGGATAGTGCAGTGGGCAAAGTGTTTGCCTTGCATTCAGCAGATCTAAGTTTGATCCTCAGCACTCTATATGGTTCCCTAAGTCTGCCAGGAGTGATCAGAGCACAGAACCAGGAGTCAGCCCAGAGCTGACTAGGTGTGACTCCCTCCCTGTCAAAAGAAGGAAAACTATGAGAGCCACTCTTGGGGGTACTCAGATCCTACCACTGCTTGGATGACCATTAGGCAGTGCCAGGGATTGACCCAGACCTCCTGCATGCAAAACACATGCTTCAGACCATTGAACCACCTCTCTGGACTTTTAAAAGTTTATTTCTTTTTATTCCCTCCCTTCCCTTCCATTCTCCACTTCCCTTTCTTGTTGCTGATGTTGCAAAGAGGGCTTTGCATGTTCACCTGGCCATGGAGTTGTGTGGTGCTTGCCCATCAGTCTGCGGCCTCTGGGCTTACCAAGTTTGAGCTCTTTTAGGTGTGGTGCCTGCATACAGGATTGCAGGGATCAAACTCTGAGTTGAGACCCACATGTTCTCATTTTGGTGCAGCACTCACTCACAATGCTTGCCAATGCTCACATTTCCTAAGCACTCTCACTCTTCTTTAGTTGCAGTGCTTATGGGGTGGAGGGTGTTTGTGCCCTTTTTCATGGTCCTTTTAGACCCCTGACTGTGGAGCAATTAGAAGTTGCTTGTGGTGGTGAAGGTTGCAGGCAGCTGAGCTCTCAGGCTTACGCCCACAGAATCATAGGTACAATCATGCTTGGTGTACATGTGACCCTGGGGATTTGAACCTGTGACCATATATATGCTTGCATGACAGATGCTCTAGGCCACCGTTCTCTTCCTCCAAGCCTGCTTACCTTCTGGAAAGTTCTTTGGAAACTTTGCTATACTCTATGGCTAAAGCATGCAGCTCATTTATTTTTCTTTTTCAGTAAACACGCTAGTGTACAAACACGTGTAAGTCATTCATGTACCCTCCCTTTCCTTTGATTGTTTTGATGACTGGGCCTCACCCTAAGCTGCAGGGTTTGTGTGAGGGTCACACACTTCAGCTGTGGTGTCCATACACACTGGTCGCGATCTAGGAGAGACAGGACACTTTGCTGTGGCACCAATGCACCTCATTGTGTGGCAGTGCTGCTGTGATCTTGGCCTGTGGGGCTGTGTGGGGTAATAAACTCCCAGCCCCACAAAGGACTGAGGCAGGTGCTCTACTTCTGAGCACATCCCCAGGGCTCTGGGGCTCATCTGCATATGGACCACTCTCCATAGTGTTTTGGGGAGAGACGCCCAGGCCTCAGCAATGCTAAGGCAGCAGCCCGGGCCTGGCTGTTAGGTACTGGGCAGTGCTGAGGGCTGCGGGACGAGAGAGTGTGTGGGACATGGAGGGGAGTCCTGCAGTGGCCAGGATCAAATTCAAATTCATGTCTTCTACTACTAAAGCTACTGCCTTGCCTAATAGCTCCCCCCAGCCCCTGGTTTATTTTTAAAACTATTTTCTATTTGTATGAGATTCTGTGATGTTTTTCTATGAACATAGTGTATATAATTCCAACACCACACTCATCACCAGTCTACCAGAACTTAAAAATTCTGTAATAAACCTTAGAAGCAGTATAGATGAAGCTGAAAACAAATGAGTACGCTTGAAGATAGCGTAAACAAATCCAGAGAGAAAAAGAGGAAATAGAAAAGAGAACAAGAAAAAAAAATGAGGAGAATATAAGGGAAATTAAACAATGCCAAGAGGAACAATTTCAGGATGATAGGAATTCCAGAAGGAATGGAGAGGGGGAGAGGAGAAGAAAGACTGGTTGAAAAAATAATTGGGGAGAAGTTCCCTGACCTGAAATGTGTGACCAGGATGCGGGTACAAGAGGCGCAAAGGGCCTAAGGTGGCTCATTCTGAAATCAGCACCTTTGAGCATCTCCTTCGCCATGAGTCCTCCCCAGCTCTTGTGTGTCCTGACGCTGATCTTAAAGGAGGCAAGAAGTTCCATTTCAGTTCAGATGTGGGTGATAAATTACATCACATGGGTTCTATTGTATTTTTCTTTTCCCTTCTGCCAAGTCATCAAATCCAGGAGCAGTTGAGGTTTTTCCCTTTGGTTGATGACAGTTTTCTGGCCACTCCAGGACGTGGTCACTGATCCTGGTGATGCTGCCCTTCCTCCCACTCCTTCTCACTCTTCCCTCTCCCCCAAGCACCTGTGTCTCAAATGTGTTTTCTAACTGCAAAGACCAAGTCATTTTCACCAGTTCTTGTTACAGTTCTCTGTCAGCGTTGAGCTCTTCATTCTTATTCCCCTCCAGCTCCATTTGGCCTTGATGTGTGGAGAGTGCTGGGCCCAGCTGAGGTGGATGGAAAAAGGACAGTGCAGCTGTTGTGGAAGGTGACCTCCCTCTGCTTGATATTTTGTTGGTTATAAACCTTTTGCCTGTCTGTCTCTTCTCTGTTTCTCTCTCTCAGGTTGAAGTAACATTGGCTTACAATACCATGTAAGTTTAAGGGTACAGCTCACATGACTTAATCACATTTGCATCTTCCCCACAGTACTGAGACCCCTTCACCACCATCCATTTGGCTACTTCCATTCTATGGTAACTCCAGTTTTTGTCATCAGAATCCAAGGGTTTGTTTTATTTTAAAACTCTTGACTGGGCTGGAGAGATAGTACAATGGGCAGGGTGTTTGCTTTGCACATGGCTAATCTGAGTTTGATCCCTGGCATCTCTATGGTCCCCCAAGCACTGCCAGGAGTAATTCCTGAGTGTAGAGGGAGGAGTGACCCCTAACAATAACTAGATGTGGCCCCCAAATCAAATAGAACAAACCAGCCAAACAGCAACAGAAAACTCAACATCTCATGTTTCTGAGAAGTCTGACTCTTGAATTTTTACCTCCTGAATTTTTCTACCTAGGGGTGTTATGGTGCCCTGAATCTCACAGTGGTTTCCCAGCTCCAAAGAGCCCCACCAGTCCACTCCACAGTTGGCTTGAAGGTACATGACAAAGGTCTGGTCTTTGAGGTGAAACACTAATCATTTGGATAGGAATAAAATGCATTTTCAGGGACATCTGGAGTTGTGGAGACCTTCCCTGGCTTCTCCTGGCAGGCATGTCATAGCTGGTGGTCACTGCCATCATGTCTTGGGAGTGTTGGCTGGGGTGAACTCACCTACAAGTTGTTGTGTCACTGCACCCACATATGGCAGGAATGTCCCTTGAGGAATCAGGTAGTTGAATTATGTGGACCTGAAAGGACAGAAGAGTGGAGAAGTGATCCTTCCTAGCATGGATACCTGGAAGTGGGGAGCAAAGGGGAAGGCAGGGGGTCCACGGAGAGGAGAGCAGCAGAGAAGCTAGGAAAAGGGCAGGAGAGCAGATGGTAGAGGGACCAAAGAGAAAAGGAAAAGGGCATCCTTTTCCTAGAAGAAAAGCACCTGCCAGATGAGAAAAAGAGATGAAGGATTTGGGAGGAAGAAAAGAAAGAGGCAAGCAATAAGATGCCAGAACTCAGTTATTTCATCCTTGCTAAAGTTGGGGAAAATTTAAAATCATTTTGAAATCCTTTTGGAAATGGAATTCCGTGGGCTTTGCCAAATGGCATTCCCATCTCAGTTACTGGAATTTCCTAGCTTTGCCTCTTCCTCCTTCACACCCAGGGCCTATGCAACACTCTAGGGTCACAGGGGCAGCAGACAAAGTAAAGCCTGATCAGTGTTGCTGAAAAGCCTTTGAGAATAAGACCCAGGTATGGTTTCTTCCTCAGTTATCAAGAGCAAAAGCAAAGGAAGCAACCAGCACATTTGGGGAAGGAAAGTCAGTGGCAGCACCTTCTATCTGGGGCTGTTGGGGCAGGCCCACCTGTTAGTAGGTGAAAGGACATCAGTCCCCTTCTCTCACCCTCATGTCTGTGGTGCGGCTCCCTTTCACCTTCACAGGAGAATTTCTAGGAATCAGGGTTAGTGAAAAAAAGAGAAAGGTGATGAAAGCACAAACCTAGGAATCTACTAAAAGCCTCTGAACCATATGGCTTACAAACAGTGCTTTTCAAGCATGTGAATAGATCCCAATAAAACTGTGTTTAAAAAAGAAATACAAGGGTCGGTTTAAGAAAGAAAAATGTTCCTATATCCTTAGGATGGTTCTGGCTATCCTGGAAGCTCCTACGAGAAGGAGCGGGCAATGACATCTGAAGCCTGCCTGCTAAATTCACCTGACAGCCAGTCATCCTTTATCCATGAACATACTCTGGAGCAGAAAGTGAAGAAATGGAAATTCCTGTAAAATACCCAGCATGCTCATTCCTAGACAAAACCTCTGAGTGGGCTCAGATTCTAGGCAGAAAAGAAGAAACTAGACTTGGGGTCACAGGTGTGGTCTGAGACACCTGTTGAAGGACCAGTGACTGGTAGGGCAGTGCTGAGTTTCCATCCTCGCAGCTGGGATTTACTTCTTCTCTGAGAGGGAGGAATAGAGAGAAAAGACAAGAATATGAGTACTGGGTACTTTCTGACTCTTGGAGGTTTCCCAGGTAAGAAATGACCCATGGCCAGAGCTTACTTAGAATTCACTCTGGGTAATGGCTCAGAATTTTTAGCTTCTGTTTCTCTCTCACTGTATGTGATAGAGAAAACCACCACCAAAGGAAAAGGGGTGACTTGCTGATGTTGTCATTCTCCTAATTTAGCCTCAGGGAACTGAATTTATATTAAGGGATGATAGGAGCAAATCCTTACTTCTAGTATTTAAAGGTTTAATGTGATATTTTTACACCACACACACAGAAACACACACACAAACACACAGAGAAACAAAAACACACACAAACACGTGGATTGTTATTTATCTATATTCATAATTCCCTGATTGTAGTTTAGCATCTAATACTTAACATTCCTGTCCTTTCACATGCCCCTAGTCTGTCATGTCTGAATGTCTCTTTTTTGATGTTGGGAATAAATTTTATTTCCTTTGGGTTCAGAAGGCAAAAGGAGCCCCATTCCTGGAGAAAGCACTTGGCTACAACATCCGGTACTTTCCAGAAAACAACACTAACCTAACAGAAAGCAGGAATACCAGTAGCCAGCAGTTTAAACTGCATCTGGGACACAAGCCCTACTTGGTGTCTGTGATTTCTTACAATTCTCTGGGAGAGTCTCCAGTGAGCACCCTAAGGATCCCAGCTGCTGATGAGAAGTGTGAGTATGATACAGACTTCTTAGAAGTGGTCTTGTCTTGTTGTCCCAGGTGTAGTACTTGTCCTTTCCAGGATTTCTGACATGTGGAGGCCCTAAGTTTAGCCCCTAGGACTGTGTGTCCCCCCAAGAATACCCCTGGTAGCTCCCAAGTGTCACCAGAAGTGACCCTTATGCACCCGAAGCACTGCTTGGGAGCCCCTCCCACCAGAACAAACAAATAGTTGTGGGCCTCAGTGTTCATTGGTTGAGAATTCAAATCTTTGCTCTTTCACTGGTCTCCTAGAACTTGGCAACTTACTGCTCTAACTTAAAACTTCTTATAAAATGGGGACATTATTAGGACAGAGAAGGGAAGAAATCATGGGGGGAGAAAGAAGATAAGAAAGGGAAATATTGTGGAAACAGGGGTTGGGGCTTTGGTTATACTAGTGATGTGGGAGAGTGGTATAGCTATACACCCAATGCACAGACCCAACAACATTGAAAATCCGAGATGTAGGCTGCAGTTACTGAACTTTGTAAGGTGCCTTTCAAGGTGCCAGGTGGTGGAGATAGAGAGGAAGCAGGGGAGGCAGAAAATGGAGTATGGGGACACTGGTAAAGGGAAGTTGACACTGGTGGTAGGATTGGTGTTGAAATATATGCCTAAAACTCAACTATTAATAATTTTGTAAATCATTGTTCTTAAATTAAAATTAATTTTTAAAAAAAGGTAAATGGGGCTATTATATAGTAACATCTCCTTTATAGAGCTACAGGGATTTATGTGAAACTTCTGTGTAAAATGCTCTGTTTATTTTAGTTATAATAATTTTAGAAAATTTTCTAATTAAGGAGGCCAGAGAGATAATACGGTAGGTAAGTTTCTTGCCAAGCAGCATGCGGCGGACCTCCAACACTACATGTGGTCCGCTGGGTGGGGTCAGGAGTGATCCCTGACCACAGAGCCAGGACTAAGCCCTGAGTACCAACTGGGTGTGATTCCCAAGCAAAAGTAAATGTACTGCACTGTAGCACTGTCCTCCCATCGTTCATCGATTTGCTTGAGCTGGCCCAGTAACATCTTCATTTTGAGATTTGTTATTACTGTGTTTGGAATATTGAATACATCACGGGTAGCTTACCAGGCTTTGCCGTGCAGGTGAGATACTCTCGGTAGCTTGCCGGGCTCTCCGAGAGGGGTGGAGGAATCGAATCTGGGTCAGCTGGGCTGGCTGCGCTCAAGGCAAACGCCCTACTGCTGTGCTATTGCTCCAGCAAAAGTAAATAAATAAATAAATAAATTCTTGTGGCAGAAAATGTCTTTAAATGTGGATTTACATATGTCACATATATGTGCCTGGGTTCTTTGAGTGGGCTGCCATTATCAGGAGTACAGACACAATCTCACCACTGTGAGAATAGGAATCTGTAACCAGTTGAATTGAATGGGGAGCCGGTTGAGACCATTGAATTTTTTTTTTTTTTGCTTTTTGGGTCACACCCAACAATTCTCAGGGGTTACTCCTGGCTCTGCACTCAGGAATTATTCCTGGTAGTGCTGGGGGACCATGTGGGACATCAGGGATTAACCCGGGTTGGCCGCGTGCAAGGCAAACACCCTACCCCCTGTACTATCGCTCTGGCCCCAACCATTGAATTTTGAAATCATCTCCTTGGGTATGATTTTTAGAGTCACCATCTTGCAGCTTCCCAGCCTACAGAATTATTGGTACTTGAAATCCTACCTTTAGATAGTGTTTGTCTCAGATTGGCTTTCATTCCAACTTATAGAGACACTGTGAGAGTGAGTCTTTTTCCATTAGTAAGACCCTGGGGAGATCCTTTCTAGATATAGGTCACTGTCACTGTCACTCCTGTTGTTCATCGATTTGCTCAAGCGGGCCCAGTAATGTTTCCATTGTGACACTTGTTACTGTGTTTGACATATTGAATATGTCATGGGTAGCTTGCCAGGCATTGCCATCCGGGTGAGATACTCTCAGTAGCTTGCCAGGTTCTCCGAGAGGGGCAGAGGAATTGAACTTGGGTTGGCTAGTTCAGCCTCATGCAAGGCAAATGCCCTAACTGCTGTGCTGTCGCTCCAGCTCGTAAGTTTGAGAAATATTTGTAAGTACTTAAAGGTTTGAGGATATAGTTCAAAGGGCTGGAGCACATGCTTTTGCATGTGGGAATTCTGGGTTCCATACTCACCATATGGTCCCCTGAGCACTGCCAGGAGCAACCCCTGAGCTTTGTGTTAGAAATAGCTCCTGAGCACAGCCAGGTATCCCCGATACAAATAAAGGCACACAAAGTACTTAAATAGCAAATGTGGGGGGGAAATGAAGCGGAGACAGCTCTCGACCTAGGGGAAGCGACAGGGGAGCTCCTGAAGCTCCACCCTCTTGATGATGGAACAGTGAGCAAGGTCGGTCCCTCTTGAGCATGAGTGGAGGACTCTAAAGCAACCTCTTATCTCCCTGCAGCCTTCAGGAGCGTTGAGTCAGTTCTCGCCCGTTGCACTCAGGACCAGCTGGTGGTGGAGTGGCAGAGCTCCTCTCCGGATGTGGACACGTGGATGGTTGAGTGGGTCCCAGATCGAGACTCAGAGACCTCCACCCTTTCCTGGGAGTCTGTGACTCAGGCCAGGAACTGGACAATCCAGCAAGGTAGTGCAGAATTGCCCCCTAGTCCCTCTGCATAGATTCGGTTTCATTTCAGTGTTTTTTTGTTTTGTTTTGTTTTGTTTTTAATCACAGCTCTGACATCCAGGCTCTAAAATGTGGCCCTCTAAATGCAGCAGGCTAGGAGAAGTACATTTCCTAGTCAGGCTACTACAGGAAGTAGTGCTGTCAGACCAGAACCTGGCCACACTCCAGGTGGAAAACATCTCATCTACCAACAAAGAGCCTGGCCCAGATAGCTTGATCATTGCAGCGACTGAGTATCCAGAATACTCCTTTTTCAGTTCTGGTTGCCTCTATAAGAGCTAAGTCAGTTTTCCAGACACTGATACAGGGAAAAGCTGTTTTTTCAAGAATCCTTGTAAGACATTATCCTCCTAACTCCATCATTTCAGTCATTTTTCACACTTTCTAGCTTCTTTCTATATGAAGCCTATGATTTATTGAATCACCGTGAGAAAAATTACAAAGCTTTCAGGTTTAAGTCTCGGTCATACAATAACCAAACACCCCTCCCCTCACCAGTAATTATTTTTCACCACCAAGAACCCATATATACCCCCCTCCCACCCCTCCTAATGCCTGTGAGGCAGATGATTTCTACTTTAACTTTCTATCTACTTTGAATACACTCATCATTTCAACAAAAGATGCACCATTATTGTTCGGAATTCCCTCCCCCCCAACAATCAGAACTGCTGAAAAGGCATTGTGAAATAATTTGTTTCGAAATTATTTTGAAATTATAGTTGGTTATGAAAAACCGTATGATGTCACATGGCCACAATATTGGCCTAGTGTTTTTGGATTTTTGATATTTTATTAATTAAATCTGGGGGAATTTCTGCCAAGAGCCGGATAATTATGAGATTGGTTTCTGTGTGTCTGATGCCATGGCTGTGCCGGAGAACCACTTGTGGAGGGGCAACTCATGGCATTGGTTGGGTGTGAAGGACGAGCCTGTTTCGCCCCCCTTCAGGGCGGCAGTTGCCCCATCACCACCCTCTCATACCTGGCTTTCCAATAAGCTCTGAGGTGGCAGCCACTGTGCTGCCAGAGGGGAAAAAGGCGAAAGAGATAGACACCCATTCCCTCCCAGGGGGGCATGGCACCGGAGTTTAACGCATAGTCCATTCACATTTCCGCCGCAAGCTGCTGGACTCTGGATTAGGTCCATGTGCCTCTGGTGCCATGACTGTGCCGGAGAGCCACTCGTGGGGGGCAACTCATGGCGTTGATTGAGCATGAAGGACGAGCTGGTTCCGCCCCCTTCCCATGAGGCTGCAGTTGCCCCGTCACCACCAGCTCATACCTGGCTTTCCAATAAACCTTATCATTTTTCATCTGGCACAAATACAAACAACTTACCAGCCCGTGCATTAAAAAAATAGTGTGGGGGGGGCAATACAAAATAAATACAAGAGAAGTAAATAATATGTAGCTTTGTCAGATGTTATGGGAAACTGTAGAATAGAATAACTTCCATGGGTTGTAGTCCATAACCCTTCTATGCATATTCTTTCCACTCTGTCATATATTCTGCACTAGTGCTTTTTCTTTTTTCTTTTTTTTCAGATAAATTAAGACCTTTCTGGTGCTATAATATCTCTGTGTATCCAGTGATGCAAGACCGAGTGGGGGAGCCATATTCCATCCAGACCTATGTCCAAGAAGGCAGTATGTATGGACATGGTCTAATTGGGGTACCAGGGGAGATATGGGGGCCTGTCCCTCATTCAGACAAGGCTTCGAATGCCTGAAGCTCTCACGGCTACCTTAGGACTCATGTGGGCTGTGGTTCATCTGCTGCTGAGAGTGAGCTCTGGATGTTCCCAGTCATGGTTATAGATTCACTAAACTCAAATCTGCGGCAGACATCAGAGTGCATCCAGTCCAAGGCCCTCCTTGCACAAGTGGAAAACTGAAGCTGAAAGGAGTGAAATAATATGCCTTAAGTCACAAAGAAATAGTGAAAATGGAGCTAAAACAGAAATCATTTACTTAAACACAGGTTGGAGATGTCAAAATAGTCCTTTTAAAAAAACTACTCTATTGTTATTTAGGTAACATGATTGCAGCAGTGTTAATTGTGTTATAACAGTGTTTTATTAGTGTTGAAGGGGACTTGGGTGAAGTGGGGCATTTGGAGGTAGCCTCAAGAAAACAGTGCTCTCACCTCTCTGTCCAGTTCATCTGGGCCAAAGGGAAATGCCTGATATGGACAGGACTGGCCAAGTCTGCTCTGAACATCTATGTGACATGGACACTCACGTCCTGCACCAGCCCCACGAGGCAGCCGAAGCCACACCTGAAACCCATATGTTATGCTCCCTGTGGGAACTAGTCTGCATCACCTGAGTTCTCAGGAAATAGGGGACTTAGGCTAGAACAAGGACTTGAGGAATTGCTCTTGGCAGAGAAGGAAAGTCAATCCTAACCTCAGCACATGCCTTTCAGATATGACACCTGCTCTCAAAAAAAAAAAAAAAATCAGGAGGAGGCAAAATAGCGAACCAAAATGGTTTTCTTGAAAGAAATTTACTTAGAGAAATGTGAGGGGAGAGAAAGGGGACTAGGTAACCAAGAGAGAACACAGGATCCTCCAAAGGGGAAAGAGCAGAGAACGGCTTTTAGGAGAAGGTTTTGTACAGTCTCTTCACATTGTCTTGGCCAGAATTCTCTGCACACATGAAAGTTAATGTGGGTATTGTTTCAGGGAAAGTCATAGGCTCTTGATCATCCTTTAAAATTCTTTCCACACATTTATATTATCTTTATGCTTCTCCTTTTCTGAAGGGTGGGGGTCCATCCTTCTCTGGATGGTGACTCAGTTTCCTCATTTCCAAAGAGCTCAGTATTTGCATCTCATAGGAATGTGATCCTCATGCCTTTGGGCTACTTAAAGGCTAAGCAGTTTCTTTTTATTATTACTATTATTTCCCGGAAACTTATTACCAGGGCCCCCTATCTACCCACAACACTAGCGAGCTGCTCTACCTTTATTTATTTATTTATTTATTATTTTTTAAAATTTTGGCTTCATTGATTCAAATTTATCAATAAGAAAACAAAAGTAAAAGTTGCAACAGAAAGCCTCTGTACAAAGAAACTGACATTAAAAGAAGAAAATATCCTATAAATTGGAGAAAATATATGTATATCATACATCTGACAAAGAGCTAGTGCCCACAATATATTTTTAAAAAATCACAAAACTGTTGTAAACACCGAAATAATACCATCTTATTTGGTTTACAATTACATTTAATTGCAATTACATCTTATTGGACTTATATTTGGCTTACAAACACCTTAATAAACTCTGATAACCACTGATTATCAGAGAAGTACAAATTAAAAAAATCACCTGTGAGAATAGTATATCTTAAAAAGTCTAGTAACAGTACATGTTGGTGGTATGTGAAACAGCAGGAATACTGTTATTCACTGATGAATATTAGTTATTCACGGATAGTGGAATGTAAATTTTAAAATGTAAAGCTTCTATGGAAAACAGAATGGGAATTTCTCAAACGATTTAAAAAGAACCAGCATATGATCCAGGAGTTTCAGTCCTTGATATCTAATTAAAGAAATAAAAACTACAAATATGCATATATATTTTTAATTAGTTTTTTTCCAAGTCTTAATTAGTGTAAATAGTGCTGCAATTAGCCTTTATTTTTGTCCTTTTGGATGTTAACTCCTTTCAGAGTCAACATTGGAAAATCTATTCTGTCACTCCATAGCCATTTCGTAATTGCTACACTTTACAGCTAGGAACGAAGGGGCTGCTGTTTGGTACTGCTGCCCTTCAAGTTTAAGACCGATGAATCCAGAGAGCTAAAAAGCAGATTCATCCATTCCCAGGTCTGTTGCCTCTGCCAGCTCTGAGCCAGTCTGTTCTGGTCTGAGCCTGGAGGGGTGGGGAGGGGCAGGATGTGTTGGGGTAATTCAGGATTCATTATTTCTCTTCCTGTCCCATGAAGTACCGACAAAAGGACCTGTGATCAGGGCAGAGAACATTGGCGTGAAGACTGTCACGATATTATGGCAAGAGATCCCCAAGAATGAGAGGAATGGTTTCATCAACAACTATACTATATTTTATCAATCGGAAGATGGAAAAGAGTTCTGTAAGTTGAAAAGAAAGACCATGGGGCCTGAGTAATAGCACAATGGGTCGGGTGCCTGTGTTGCACATGACCAACCTGGGTTCACAATCTCTGGCACTCCATATGGTCCCCCGAACAATCCAGCAGTGATCTCTGAGTGAAGAACCAGACGTAACCTTCGTGCCCCCACTTCACCCTCCCAAAAGAGAAAGAAATCCAGACCTCAAAGAGAGGCCATGGACAGACCAGGTTATCTTTATGCTTCTCCTTTTCTGCATGAGTCACTCAGCCACTCAGTTCTTTGAGTACCTCTCAGTTCTTTGCAGAGTGCAGGAGTGACCCCTGAGCATTGAGTTGGGAGTAGCCCCTGAATACTATGAAGTGTGGCCCCCAAACAAAACAAACACATTCTTTAAAAAAATTTTTTTATTAATTGGATTCTCTGATGTGCAGTGATTTCTCAAGTCCATAATTCCAACACAACACCCATCACCAGTGCACCCACCTCTCTTCCCTCAGGACCCCAACACTCTCCCTTTGAATACTCCTTTAACCATTCAATTCTGTGAGACAGTTCTCCTGTTCTCCTGCTTTTGGACCTTTGTTGCTGCCTTTCTTTAAATCCCACAAATGAGAAAGATCATTCTGTATCTATCCCTTTCTTCTGACTGACTTCACTTAGATATCCTCTAGTTCCATCCATGTTGCTGACAATTGAGTCATTTTGTTTTTTCTTTAGAACTGCATAGTATTCCATTGTATATATTTACTATTGTTTCTTGATTCATTCATCCATAGTTGGGCATTGGGGTTAAAACAAATGCATTCTTATGGTAATCCTAGGGATATGAAACAGCATGATTGTGTGGGTTCATCTGCATTTCACTCACGATTAGTGACATTGGCCATCTTCGCAGTGCTTGTGGCCATTTGTCTATCTTCTTTGGAGAAAGTTTTTTCAATCTCTGTCCATTTTATTTATTTATTTATTTATTTATCTATTATTGTTTTGACATTACTGGCGCCCACTTGAGCAAATTGAAGATTAACGGGATGACAAGTGATACAAGTGATTATTATCTTAGGGCCATAACAGGCAGTGCTCAGGGAAGAGCTTACTGTGGTTCTTCACTCAGGGATCACCCTTGGCAGAGTTTAGGGGAATGTCGAGGTGCTGGGGATTTAACTGGGGTTGGCTACGCACAAGACAATTTCTTGTACCTGAGAGGCCCTGCTATCGCTCCAGCCCTGCTCCAGCCCCCAATCTCAGCCCATTTGAAAATTGGATTGCTTGTCTTTTCATGATTAAGTTGTAAGTTATCTTTATAAATATGTGGGCTGGAGCGATAGCACAGCAGGTAGGACGTTTGCCTTGCATGCGGCCGACCCGGGTTCAATTCTCCCATCTGTCTTGGTGAGCCCGGCAAGCTACCGAGAGTATCCCCCCGCATAACAGAACCTGGCAAGCTCCCTGTGGTGTATTCAATATGCCAAAAAAAAACCCCAGTAAAACAAGTCTCACAATGGAGATGTTACCGGTGCCAGCTCGAACAAATCTATGAACAATGGGAGGACAGTGCTATGGTGCTACATTCTGGATGTAAGCTCCTTACCAGATAGTGATTTGTGAATCCTTTTATTCACATTTCCCTTCACTATCTTAATTCCATTCTCTTGATTTTGATCTTTTTGGTGTGGCTGGAGCGATAGCACGGTGGTAGGGCGTTTGCCTAGCACGCAGCCAACATGGCCAACCCAAGTTCGATTCCTCCGCCCCTCTCGGAGAGCCCGGCAAGCTACCGAGAGTATCTCGCCTACACAGCAGAGCCTGGCAAGCTACCCATGATGTATTCTATATGCCAAACGCAGTAACAACAACCGAGACGTTACTGGGCCCACTCGAGCAAATTGATGAACAATAGGAGGACAGTGATAACAGTGATAATTTTTGTGGGGGTGCATTTGGGTCACACCTGGCAGTATGGAACTATATTGGTGACAGGGATCAAATTTGTGCTTGCCACACACAAGGCAAGAACCTTAGTCCCTATATTATCATCTATTCAGCTCTTGAAAAGCTAGTTTTAGAGAGAACAGGGAGAGTGGAATTGGAATGTAAGATGCAGTTCACCCTGGAAATGCAGCTTCCAAGGTGCTTTAGAGCTATAAAGTGTGCTTGTGAGTGGGTGTGACTTTGGTGTTTAACTGCTATACTTTCCCTTTAGCCAAGACTGTCAACTCCAGCATCCTGCAGTATGATCTGGACTCCCTGGCAAGAAAGACTTCTTACTCTGTTCAGGTCCTGGCCAGCACCAGAGCAGGAGGAACCAATGGCACCAGGATAAACTTCAAGACATTGTCAATTAGTGAGTATTTCCTTCTAGCCTTGAAGAACTCTTCTTGACATTTCTTTAAGTCAATCAGAGATAACATTTAACAAAGGCAGGGGAAATCTGAGCAAAAATGAATACCCAATTCTGCACTCTGCTTGCCACCTTTCCAGAAAAGAGCCCCAATCATCTTGAGGAACAGAGATGAGGGTCATCACCCCACAGCGGGGGAAGAAATTTAATCTCATCACTTGTGCAGTTATCTTGAGCCAAAAAGTACAGCATATGTTTATATATCAGCTTCTACGTAAAAATGACTCAAGAAAGTATAAATATAATGAAAATGTCAAATGTGATGGAGCTTTATGCAGAGTTAGGGGGAAATTATCAAGGAGTAGAAGATGGAATAAGGGATAAGGTAAAGAAGAAAGAAGAGGATTAAAGAAGAACAAATATATTCATTTTGACAAATGCATCAATGACAGATCTTTGATTTTAAGAATATACGAAGACTGGAGCGGTAGCTCAGTGGGCTCACAATTTGCTCTTGCTTGTGGGAGACCCAGGTTTGATTCCCACCACCACTGGTCCCTGAGAACAGCAGGGAGTGTTCCCCAATCTCTAATCACCAAATTTGGGAGTAGCTCTTGAGTATAATTAGGTGTGGCCCCAAAATAAAAAATAAAACAAAACAAAATATAACTACTGTTTAAAAGAATGAATCATTTATACTAAAGCTGAAGACATATTGTCAACTTTTGTAATAAAAGCTAAAACTGGTATATGTGAAATATTCTTAAAACCCTCTATTCATAATATTTTCAAGGGGATAAAAATAACTTTATGATTCTGGAAAATATGAGCATAATATTTGTCTTACAAACAACATAGCATTTAGGGGTCAGAGAGATAGTGCTGAGGTTAGGGCACTTGCCTTGCATGCAGCTAGCCCTGGTTCAATGTCTGGCACTGCATATAGTTCCCTGAATACCTGAACATCCCCCCCAGGAGTGATTCCTGTGCACAAAAAACATAGTATTTGTTTCTACGAACTGACATTCCTTTAGTTTTGTTTAGTTTTTTGTTTTTGTTTTGGATTGATTTGGGGGCCACACCTAGCAATGCTCAGGGACTTCTTCCTAGCTCTGTGCACAGGGCTCTCTCCTAGTAGTGTTCAGGGAAATGCGGTAGTGCCAGGGGCCAACCTTGGAGTTCAACATGCAGATGCACGTTGCTGTCTCCTTGGCCCTGAAGGAATTCTTTTAATATTACTTTAAAAAAAATCTTTAAAAATTTTATTGTCAACTGGGTATGTAGCTCAGCAATAGAACACTTGTATTGCATGTGTAAGGCCTGGGGGTTTGATCCCAAAAGCTGAAAGAAAATTAATAAATTAAATTTCACAGTGATCACGACCATGATCATCTTGTTGTTCGTCGATTTCCTCGAGCAGGCACCAGTAACGCCTCCTTCTTCCTAGCCCTGAGATTTTAAAAGAGCCATTTCAATGCTCTTTCAGGATTAGGAGAATGAGACCCATCATTGTTACTGGTATTTGGCATATTGAATACGACACGGGAAGTTTTCCAGACTCTGCCGTGCAGGCAGGATACTTTTGGTAGCCTGCCAGGTTCTCCAAAGGAAAATAAGATAATAAGATGTTGCGCGGCCACTAATGTGGCCCCGCGGTTCCAGGAGCTGGGTTTTAGAGTCTCTGCGTCTTGGCTGTTGATGGGACCAACCTGGCGCTGGCGGCAGCTGGTGGGTGTGATGCCTACCTACTGGAAGATGGAGGGTCTAGGTGGAGAAGGCCCATCCCAATCCGAGTAGGCTTGGAGACCTCAGCCCCGGGACCCGTATGCGTGGGTTCCTCTGCCAGTTCTTTCATGCATGAGGCCCGTCCGGACATGTGGAAAGTGGTCCCAGCATGGCTGTGGCTAGCTCCGGAGGTCCTCAGCTGCTGGGGCTCTGCTCGGGGCGGGGTGGGGGGGGGGGAGAAACTCAACCCTTCCCCCCTCCAAGGGGCCCCAGTGAGGACAGCCAGGCATGGGGTCAGGAGACTCTGCGCTGTTCTCCTCCTCTAAATTTCGCAACATTAGACCCAAATTCCATTACATGGCAAACTTTTCTGGGTCAGATTGAAGACATGAGCCTGCCTAGATACTTACAGTGACTCTGCACTCAGGAATCACTCCTGGCGGTGCTCAGGGGACCGTATGGGTTGCTGGGAATAGTTGGCCACATGCAAGGCAGATGCCCTCCCTGCTGTGCTACCGCTCCAGCCCCCTCTTACAGTTTTTTCCCCTTGCTGTGCAGTTAAGTTCTCCTTGCTTCTCCCTCTGGTGCCCTACAATCCTCCACACAACTCCAATTTAGAACCCTAGATTCCTTGCTTGAAACCCACGGATGACGTCTATTGTGTTCTTAAAATTCAAACCTCTTGGACCCAGAGTGGTAGTACAGTGGATAAAGTGCTTGTGTTGCATGCAGTCGGCAGGTTCACATCCCCAGCACCCAGGTGCTCCTCTCTCCAGGAGTGATCCTTGAACACAGAGCCAGGAGTAAGCCCTGAGCACTGCCAGGTGTGGCCACTAAAACCAAAACAAAAATCCAAACTTCTTCCCAAAGCGTTCTGGAGCTTTCACTGTGCATTGCCTGCCACTTTTTGCCTCTAGGGTCCATAACTTAATCTGCTTCAAGACTTTGGAATCTGCTGTTCCTTATGCCTGGAGTGTATTGTAAAAAAATAAATATATATTGTAAAAAATCAACAATATTTTTACAGTATCACTGCAAATTGGCATGGCTAATTCCTTGTGATTATTAATATTAAGTCAAAACTTCCTTCTCCAAGAAGTCTTCCTTCAGTGCCCCACCTAAAGTTGCTAATCTCGCCCTCCCCTGCCCCCGCTCACCTCACCTACTCTAGCTTCCCATCCTGTGTTTATGAAATATCTTGTGCTATTTATTGCCTGAATCTTTCTCTCAGAACATAAGAGTCCTTGAGCACAAAGTACCTGTATTTGTTACTGATGACTGTTTGTTCTGTTACTCAGAACAGTGCTTGGCAAATCATAAGTGCTTATTCAAGATTTTCCGACTGATTGAGCTTGGAGAACTGACTTGGTGAACACAATGTCTGACAGTATTATTCAGGGAGAAAAAATCCTGGGAGACCTAACACCCAGAATTTTATGGGATTGATTTTTTTAGAATTGGAAAGAATTGTAAAGTTCCTAAAACTTATGGAAGAAAGGGTCCATCTTTGAGTTTCTTTGGAGTGAGGCACTCAGCCTCCCACTGATTTGTGTTGTCCTTTCCCCGAAGGTGTCCTTGAGATTCTCCTTGTAACGGCTCTGGTTGGGGGCGGACTGCTGATTCTCATCATCCTGACAGTGGCATACGAGCTCAAAACACCCAAGTGAGTTTATAGATCACAGTGCCCTGGTTCCCTGAGATCAGGGATGGAAGGGGGAGGGAGGTGAGATGGGTGGGGAGAGAAGCACTCCTCCAGCACAGCGCCCAGCTTTCATTTGATTAAGTGGCACCTGTTTATTGATTAGATTATATTCCACACCCTTGGCTCTTCAGAATTCTGACTAGACAAGAGGATTCTTTCTCCACACCACTCCACGCTCCAGGGGCGTGCCAACAACTTGGCAGGCTGTCTCTGTGGTGGTTGTCATCCATGACTAGAGTTCACGAGATGGTTCTTTCAGTGTCTAGTGGGGACTGTGGTAGCAGCAAGGGGTCTCCAGGACCTCAGCTTCTCTCTAAGGAAAGCAGGGAATGCTCACACATGGCTCACACATGTGTCCAGTCTGAACTCATCCTCTGCCTGGCTGGAGGGGCCTTTGTCCTGCCTGTCCCAGAAGGGAGCTTCTCTTCTGGACCTGTGAGTGCCCCATGGCCTAGGGCTCTGGCATCCATTGACTTCTCTGCCTTCAGAATCTGTGAGCTGTTCCTGGCCCAGCCAACTCCCAACTATAGGTTGCAAGCAGGGCACCAGCACAAATCCTCTTGCACATCTAACAAGTGACCAGTGCTGTGCTGTTGGTTGTGGGTAAAAGAAGTCTTTGAGAATTCCTGTGCTTCAGTGTGGGGATCTCATTGGACTTGGGTGTCCCTTTTCCTGGAAAATGATGTTTGAGCAAATGGTCTATGATGGTGTGGTCTCTAGCATCAGAAATAGCTGTGGGGAAAGAGGAGCAGAAAAGAGGAGCAGCTTGGTGAGGGCTGAGGGCTTCTCCCATCATACCCCATGGGGGCCTCATTACTGCAACCCACCAATGACGTCACTCCTTCAGATTCTTGCAGGAGGCCACCCGGTGCTTACCCTTCACAGAGCACCTTATAAGTCTCCTGCGGAGTCCCACTTTGGGGACAGGATCGTCACATGCATAGAAAATATTTCTTGGGGTCATGTTTCCTGTTACCTGTTTTACAATCTTATCTCTCATTAGCAAATTGAAGCACCTCTGCTGGCCTAATGTCCCCAACCCCGCTGAAAGCAGCATAGCCTTGTGGCATGGAGAGGCGCTCAAGGTACAAGCCAGCATGCATGGTGGTGGGAGGTGGTCCAGGTGATGGTGGCATTCCAGGGGTCATATCAGGAGAGCCTGAGGCTCACACAGCCCCAACTTCTAGCTGGAGCCAGAAGCAACCAGGCTCCCTGAGGCCCTTTGACCTCCCTTTGTAGACAAGAGGAAAGGGGATTCTCAGGTTTGCAAGGCCCCTGCATTAGCTCTGCCTAGCACTGACATGGGGTGAGAAGAGGAAAACCTGCCCCTTTCCCCTGAGTAGTAATTGGATAGCAAGAAGGTCTGGCTGTAAGATCTGAAGCCCCCTAAAAGTAGCCGGAGGGGCCGGAGTAAGAGTACTGCGGGCAGGGCATTTGCTTTGCAGATGTCCAATCTGGGTTTGATCCCTGACACCCCATAGCAATGCCAGGAATGATCCCTAAGTACAGAGCCAGAAGTACTCCCTGAGTCCTGCTAGGTGTGCCCCCCTCTACCCCCCTGAAATCAGGAGCAAGTTCATGCTCAGACTCTCTAGTGCCATTGAGGAGCTGCTGACATGCCCTGCTGTCCCCAGGCTGGGCAGCCCCGCCTTTATTGGGGTTTGGGGGCTAGAACAATTGAGGGGCGAGTGGTGGAGATGCTTCTGTGAATAGTCTTTAAGCACAAATCCTCATTTTCAATAAGTTTTTACATTAAAAGCTGTTCTTAAAAAAATTTTAAGATCTAGGGTCTGGAGCAAAATAGTACAGTGGGTAGGGACCTTACCTTGTATATGGCTTACCTGAGTTTAGTCCCCATGTGGTCCCCTGAGCACTGCCCGAAGTCATCCCTGAGTGAAGACCAGGAGTTTAAGTCCTGCGCACTGCTGGAGGTGGCTTCCTGCTCCCAAAATTTAAGGGGCAAAGAAATAGTTAAGGGTGCTTCCCTTGCATTCAGTGCAGTGAACCCCTATTGAATACCTGGCACCACACATAAGGCCTGAACACTGCTGGGTGTGGTCCACCAAACAGCCCCTCTAAGAAATAAAAACATAAAAAAGAAATTGTTTGAATATGGAGGAAGTTTCTGAGGAAGCAGGCCTAGTTCCTGTGGAAGGGTGTGAAGAGGAGAAAATGTGGAGGCTAGTGAGTCACTGAGAGTCCCAAATGCAACCAGGTTTTGTTTGCATCATATATACTTCCCAAATGATTGGTTGGGTGTTTCTCTCTCTTTTCCAGGATAAGCTGAATCTGAAGGAGTTTGATGACCCTATGACCATGGAGGAAGACAGGATCCTAAAACCATGTCCTATCCCCCATGACCTTATTGACAAGTTGGTAGTGAACTTTGAGAATTTTCTGGAAGAGGTTTCCATAGAGCAGCCTAGAAAAGGTCAGAAAAATGTTTTGGGAGGTGAAGAGAATGAATATGTGACCTCCCCCTTCAGGCCATACTGTTTCGTTGAGAAGAGTTTTGAGGATTACTCCATTTCAACCAAGATTCCACCCACAAAGACCCAGCTGTGTCCTGACATGCCGGAGGGCAGCAACTCAGAAGTCAATGAGCATGTTTCCTCCACACAGTGTTCTGGGCCAGACCATGTCTATGAGGAAGCACCAAATCCCTACCTGAAAAATTCTGTGACAACCAGAGAATTTCTTGGGTCTGAAACACTGCTAGACCAAAGCAAGAAGGACTGAGGCCATGCAGCTCAAAATCCCTCTGCATTTCAGGAGGCTTTCGCAGAGAGGAGATGAAGCTCAGCCAGAAGATCTTCCTCAGTCATATCCCTGTTCTGCCTGTCAGAGAAAAAAATCTTGCATGTCTCTCAGCAGTGGCTGGTTAAGCTTATTGGACTCAGACACTGAAGTCTAGTGTTGTGCTTAGAAGCGATTATTTGACTCGGTTCAGATGTCAACGAAGAGCTCTTACTTGGCCCTTGAACAGGCTGACTTCCGAGGGCGGTGGGCCCTGAGGTGGATGCACCTTCCAGACATGGCTCCTGGCCAGGCCTGCACTGCAGCTTCTCGGAGTTCGCACGGATATTTGCCCAATGCCAGAGAATAGCTGGTCACGGACTCTTGCCACTCCTGCTGAGAAAGGAGAGCTTCTCCTCCCAGGGTTCTTGACTCCACATTTGAGGTAGCCCTGACTGCTTTATGGAAAGGGTGCATGTGTTGTGGTTGCTCTTGTTGTTTGGACGTTGGTTTGGGTGTCACACCCAGGAGTTTTTGGGCTATTCCTGTCTCTGTGTTCAGGGGTTTCCCCCAGTGTGTACTCTGGGGACCACGCAGCGCTGGGGATTGATGTTTGTCACTTCACAAAGGGACAGTAGGCAGAGTGACCTGACCCTGTGCCCTTCATTAACTCCCAGAGGTGGTGGTGGGTGGAATGGATGAGGTATTCAAAGGTATGAAAAAGGACTCAGGAGTCTGTAGACACGGCCTGCCTGAACTCCACTCTGGCCTCCTGTAACCCTAACTTCCAAGTACGCCTGATATCCAGTGAGGCCCCAACGTTGCAAATTTCCAAGGTTCAGTGATCTCTGTATGCTTAATATTTATTTTTCTGAAATATTACTGAAAAAGTTAACACCCCAAACTGCCAGAATCTAATGCCATACTTGCCCAAGGCCATTGTCATCTTTCCAATAAACCAGACCCTAAAACAGGCACAATCCCATTACTCAAAACAACAATTGCAAAATGCTTCCCTTGCCTTTATATCTTGGGAAACAATACTACCCACTTGAAGCCTCCACATCCCAACCCTAACACTAGCCCTGATTCTAAACCTAACACTACCTCTTAGTAAGCCTGGGATCTAGTGGAGCCCAATAGTCTCAAATTTCCAAAGTTTAATGATATCTGTAGACTTAACATTCATTTTTGTAATACTGAAATAGTTAACACCCCAAGCCTCCAGGAACCTAACGTGAGAGAATCTGAGATGGGGTGGGCCCTAGGCCCCGAGTGATGGTATGTAGGTCAGGCCCCGGGTCTGCCCACCTCTCCAGGCCACTGCCCAGTCCTGAGTTCCCACTGGCCCTCCCTGACCTGCTATCTGGCACCCTAGCACGGAAATAGAAATGCACCAATCACTGCGGTCAGTTTTGTTCAGGACTGGGCCCATTCCCTGGCATGGAGCCCGGAACTGCTTCCTGGACACCCTCTTCCAGCTCTTCCAGCATGCAAGGGGGAGGGCTGGGACAGGCACCGATGTTATGTCTTGTTCCACACCAGGATCGCCCTCTGTTGCCCACCCATTGCACAGTGCTCATGACAGTCAGTGTTACTTTGAGTTCACATGTCTGTGGCACCTTTAGCTTATGTGTTCAGAGCAGCGCCCGTGGCTGGCCCTGGGCCTGCATCCTGACCACATTAAGTCTGTGACTTCAGGCCAGGAGGCATGGGGGTGGGGAGAGGCTTCGGGGAGGATGGGGGCCAGGGAGGAATTAGGCAAGGAGAGAGCCCTGGGATGCAAAAGGGAGGATGGTTTGGAGTATCGGTGCTCATGCAAACAAATTTCACAGACCAGCAGCCCAGGGTTGCAGAGCAGGCACCTCCTTTCAGATAACCAAAACAAAGTTCGAGTCCAGGCCCCTGACATTGGAAAGACTGGCAGCCCCGCTCGGTGATATTGAGTCCCTGGGTTCGAAACTCGGCCATATCTGGGATCGGCTCTCCTGTGCCCTTGGGTCTGACCTGGTGGGAGCTGCATAGTTCTCTCTTGGGCATCAGTTCAGGCTGGTTCTCGCTGGTGCCAGCTCCACACTGCTGTAGGGACAGGCCTGAATCCTCACCTGCTCCCCAGGGACCCTGGCACTTTCCTCAGCCAGTTGCTGCCTCCTTCCTGTGGGCAGGGGCAGGTGAGGTGCCAAGTCCTCACTGATCTCAGTGCAGCTCGATTGCTCCCCCATGCCCACCTCTTCACTGGGCAGAAGAGTGTCAGCTGCACAGCAGGAGTTGGAGAGACCTGGGGGAGCATGGGGGAGTCAAAAGGAAACACAGAGAGGACGCACCAGATTTCTGGGGCTGAGATCCAGTCTCCCTCTCTGTACCCTCCAGCCTCCCTTTTGTGACTTGAACTCTTCCGTGAGCCTTCCTGTCCCGCAGGGCTCCTGACGAGGCCTGTTCCACCCTGTTCTGGGATCTGTGATGGGAAAGTGGGTGGGGAGGGGACTAGGAACCTTGTTCCCCACCACTATTCTCTCTCCCTGTGACTCTCTGCTTCCCACTTGAAGAATTCTCAGATTGTGGGGGAGGCAGAAGGGGGTGGGGAGCACCTGGGTGAGTCCTCCCTTGTCTGGCCCATCCCTGGAGGAGCTAGAAACGCCCTTTGAACCTAGAAAATCCCACAGATGCGATGGCCCTGGAGATAGCAGGTCCTAAACTGGTCCTACAAGGGACGGGGGCCACAGTACAGCTGGGAGAGCACTTGCCTCGCATGTGGGTGGGTTCAGGTTTGATCCCCAACTCCACATGCGGTCGGGTCCCTTGAGTCTGCCAGGAGCGATCCCTGAGCACAAAGCCACAAATAAGCCCTGAGCACTCCCCAGGGCATCCCCCGCCCCGTCAAAACAGTGAAGCAAAGACGAGAAGGTTTCACACTTCCCTAGTTCTTCATGTGCTCCTGCAGCCTTTGCTGGGGTTCGCACAAAGTCCAGAGACCCCCACCCTGGCCCAGCTGCCTCACTCTCCTCCCTGCTTCTTGCCTCCTTCCTGTCCCAGCAAGCACAGCAGCCCCTCGTTCTCTAACTTTTGTTTGTTGTCCTCTCCCTGCCCCATCCCCTTCCCATCAGCGTCCTTTGATCACTTTCCAGAACCATGTTGGTTCCCTTTGAGGACCAGGAAAGGGGGTGAAGGGGGTGCTCTGTTTTGTTCTAGAGGTCCAAAGGGCGTTTCATAGGAATCAGCCCTTCCTGCTGGGAAGATGAGCTTTTCTCAGGAAGCCTGACCCGAGCAGCACTTCCCACACAGGCCACACAGGACACTGGGCCTGGGCTTCCCGCAGACCCCAGTCACTTCCTTTCCCGACAATGACCGTTCCCACTGCAGGGTCTGGAGATGACTCTGTTACCCCATCTGCATTTTCTCTGTGTCCTTTTAGCATAGAGATGCAGAGGGCCTAAACAGGAAAAACCTGGTTTTCAGCAGGACATTGGAAACAGCTCAAAGTCCGGCAAATGTGCCTTCCCCATGCAGGAAGTTCCGTCTTAGGCACCGCATGGCCCTCTGAGCACCACCCATGAGTACTGCCAGGTGTGGCCCCCAGACAAAACCAAGTGGCTAAAATTTCCATTTTTAGAGCCTTCTGAGGCTCTGGAAACCATGAAAGCAACTAGGTCAGTGCTCTATTAAACGGTCTTTAGTATCAGGAAAAGAACAGACTTTAAAAAAAAAAAGCAAAGAAATTGCTTAAAAGGCAAAGATCACACGTTCATCTTGCTATGAAAAGAGAGCAGAGGGGCTGGAGCGATAGCACAGCGGGTACGGCGTTTGCCTTGCACGCAGCCAACATGGCCGACACAGGTTCGATTCCCAGCACCCCATGTGGTCCCCTGAGCACCGCCAGGAGCAGTTCCTGAGTGCATGAGCCAGGAGTAACCCCTGAGCATCACCGGGTGTGACCCAAAAAGAAAAAAAAAGAGAGCAGAGAATCAAAACCGTATTGATGGTTGTGTGAGGAATATTTGGGCAATCTTGCCAGGCACCTTGGCCATTCTGCCTGCACTCTCCTGCACCCTTACTCGCTGCAGTTGCTGCTCCCAGCACTCTGGTGCATGCATCCCGGGTTTTCGAAGCATCTGCGAACACTTGGAAACAAAATCGAAGAATAATTTTTGTTGCTGTTTATGGATCAGACCTAGCGGTGGGTGCTCAGGGGATTAAGCAGAGCTGGGGATAAACCCTAGGCATCCTGCATGCTCAAAATAAGCAAAGTATTGTGCTGTTGCTCCAGCCCTAATAATGAGTACTACCAAGAGTAAATCCTGAGGGCAGAGCCAAGACCCCTGAGCATTCCCCGGATGTGATCCAAAAACTAAAAAATAAAAGGGAAAAAAAGAAGAAGAAATAAATAAGGATGAATGTGCCAGCCAGATTGGGTTCGCACTAATGTGAGAGAGAGCATGAGGACAGTGGAAGCTATATACAGTGCATGTTGTTACTTTCATATATTGTCATATACCGATGCACCAAGTAATGTGTGACCAAGAAAGCCCTATGCTATCAGAGTATGAAAATCTGTTTATTATAAAGGAGGAGCCTTTAAGATGCTTTATTTCAAATGCATGCATGCTGTATCTCCTGAATAATAAAGCCGTAATACTCTTTGGCCATGAAGTAATGCTGTGCCTCTGTTGCCATGTTTCACCTATGCAGGTATTTAAAATGAGACTTTAAAAGATAAATATTGCATTCTGTGAGAACTGGAGGTGTTTCATTGACCAGGGGAAAAAATAAATGCTCCAGAGGACCAGAAATAGAATCCTAACCCTAACCCTAACCGTAACCCGAACACTAACTTTAAACCTAACCCTAACTCTAACCACAACTCTAACCCTAACCTTAACTCTAACCCTAGCCCTAACCTTAACCCTAAGCCTAACCCTCATGCCTTTGGGGGCATTACTCCAGCCATACAGTTCACCTGGAAATTTGGCCTCACACCCAGCTCACCCAGCTCACTGTCACAGGTGGTTGCATACTAAAAATCAGTTCCTTCGTCCAGTTTACTGCAACCAGAACCTGGAGCCCTGGAACCTCTCCTGACCCCTCGAAGTCTTGCTTTCTTGCTCTCCACTTTTTTTTTTTCTGGAGGAGCTCAGCCAGATAGAGGCACCACACCCTCTGACTGTTTATCTAGATCTGTGACTCAAGGGACACCCCAGCATTAAACACTATAGGTCAAGCCCAAGAAACTTCTACAGGCTTATTTTGTGTAAACAGGCTTTCCAGGGTGGCAGAGAGTCAGTTTAGGTTCCAAGAAGGAACAAGAAAACAGGCCAAGTTCGACCCCTGGTAATGCATATGGTCCCCTGGTCCTGAGCACCGACCGCCAGGGGTAAACCCTGAGTATAACTGGGTGTTATAACTGGGTGTGGCCCCAATCCTCCCTCCAAAAAAGCAAAACAGTGACCAGAGCAATTCTATAGCTGCTAGGGCACTTGAACCAGGTTTGAACAGAGGTCTTCTGAGCCCTGCCAAGAGTGATCCATAGTGAGAGCTCAGGAATAAGCCTGAGCAGAACCAGCTGTGGCCCACAACAAAACCAAAAATAACCTCCCCCCCCAACAAAACCAAAACAAATAGAAAAAGATGAAAGAATAAAAATTGGTTCTGTTAATATACTTATCTCTTTCCATAGCAAGGTTTACCCAGCCCCTGTTATATATAATGCACTGTTCTAAGTACCAGGGACATGGAAGATTAAGAACGGATCCTGATACCAAATAATTTGGTAGAGTATGGAAGCTTTTATCCTGGGGGATCTGTTTGAGTCAACCATAGATGGAGTTGGAGCCGGGAGAACATTTCCTGAGAGGAAACCACATACCTAGACTGGGCGGTAAGAAAAAAACATGATGAGTTTCTGAAACTGTAGTTTCCCAGGAAGTAGGAGAGGCAGCACAGGGAAGAAGGGAGCCAGCAGAGCGCTCATGCAAGAGGTGTGGCCAGAGCTCGCAGGACACAGAAGCTGCCGGTGCTGCCCTCTTGTGGATCAGCAGGAGATGGACAGGAGCCACAGAAGGTCACACAGCCTGGATGCCTGATGGGGAGGGTATAGACACTGGGCAGCCCAGCACAGGAGTGTGCTGAACCACGGAACAGAAGTAGGATCTGAAAACTCTAGAGGAGGCATTGTATCTGCCTCCAGAAACTTTTTTTGCTGACGCAGTGGGCCAGATTCTGCCATTAGAGGATTTTTTGACCAAATTGATGAGATAGTTGGAGATGTGTTCCAATAAATGCGCTTTCCTTGGGAAAATGGACACAGTTCCCACCTCAGTTGTTGTTGCTGTGTGTGGATAGAGTAGTTGTAGGTATGTGTTGAGGGGAGAACAGGCTTCCGGGCTACAAAAAGACGATAGTCTGAGACAGAAATGCATGATTGGTATATGAGTTGGCCTCAGTCACCCAGTGAGTACACAGCCCAGAATATGGGCTTCAGAGTCAGTAGGATTAGAGTTGGAGCATTCACATTCTACTTGTGAACTATTAGACCCTGGGGAAGTTACTCAACTTCTCTGGGCTGTGAGCTTAGAAATGCTTATTAAGTTACCAAGGAGTCCATGACCCAAAGCCAACACTCTAGATGGCACACGTTTACATCCCTGTTAACGGCATGTGGGCCCCAGAGGATCATCAGAAATGTCTCAAGTCTGCAGGTGCCTCACCCAGCACGGCCCCCGTCAGTCGCAGGTGTGGAACACAGATGTTCCTGAAGGTTGTTTTCTCATTTCTGAATCTGCCTCAGTAACCAGGTGACTATCAGTCGAGATATGACAATGAATAAAATTTACACTGATTTTAGAGTTACTTTCCATTTTAGAATGTGCACAGAATAATGTTTTCTATGGCCGGTATCTCGGGGCCTTTGAGGGCCTGTTTTACTTACATGTTCTTTTCCAGGACCATCCATTTCAAAAGCATGATCTTGGAACCAAGTGATCTTACAAAGCCACAGATTTAGAAGGTGGATATCATTCTCTGCTTAAATGAGTTGGTCGGGGAATTTGTATTGCTGGAGGCCACCAGAAGTAGCTGAGTTGGGGTGAGGAATCAGTGACCACACTATTCCCAGAGGCTGGGAGGCAGCCACTGGAGCAGCTGCTGCTTAGGCTAATCAGATTCTGAAACTTTCATTGCTCTGGGTGCAGGGCTGAGTTGGGGTGATTGATGTGAGCAACTAGGGAGCGGAAAGACTGAGAGAGAGATGATAGTGGGAAGCCAGGGAGGAGATCAACTCGGTTAGAAATGTTGCTGTGAAGGACAAGCTGGGAGGGAGACTGCCGCAGCGACACTTTCACAAAATCATTAAAGAATGGAGACTCGAATGGTGTGAGCACCCAGCCAGCAGGTCAGAGTGAAGGAAAACTTACACATGCAATCAAGCTGTCTTGCCCTTCCTGCGCTGTGTACCAGTTACTACGTTTTGTTTTGTTTGGGAGTCACATCCAGTGACGGTTCGAGGCTACTCCTGGTTCTGTGTGTAGGTCTCTCTCCTGGTGGTTCACAGCCTGTCAAACCATCTCTCTGGCCCTAGGCAACTATTTAAAAAGCCACCAAGGAAATGCCCTCTGGTTCAGTCACTGTGGAAAAGTGGAGACTTCCCAAAAAATAGAGCTTTCATATGACTAAGCAATTCCATTTCTTGGCATCTAGCCCTCGGACACAAAAACAATTTAAAAAGATATAAGCATGTCTATGTCCACTGCAGTGCTAAGAACAATAGGCAGGATACGGAAATGACCTGAATGTTTAGGAACAGATGAATAGACAAGGAAGTTGTGGCAATATATACAGAAAAGAATATGTTGCTATAAAAAGATGACTTATTGTTTTGGGGTCACATCAGTGGTGCTCAGGTCTGACTCCTGTCTGTGTTTGAGGCACCAAATGAGATGCTGGAGAGCAAATTCAGGTGAGCAGGCAAATGTCTTCTCAGCTGTACTGTCTGAGTCTGAAAATATGAAATATTGCAGTTTGAAACAATTTGGATAAATCCAGAAGGGCATCACATTAAGTGAAATAAACCAGAGAGAGAAGAAGAGTTCCAGGTGATTTCACTCATCTGTGGTAGAAAGAACAAAAGAATAGACAGAACTGAATGATGAGCAACCCTTGGCCTTGCATTACAAAACATTAAGATTACCAAGCAGTAGGGTTAGGGTTGGCAGGAAGTATGGGGTGAACTAGTGGTGGAGTTGTCTTGGGCACTTTGGTGATGGTTAAGGTGCAGTAATTTTGTACTGTAGCACTGTAGCACTGTCCTCCCGTTGTTCATCAATTTGCTCGAGTGGGCCCAGTGATGTCTCCATTGTGAGACTTGTTGTACCGAGAGTATCTCGCCCACACAGCAAAGCCTGGCAAGCTTTCCGTGACGTACTCGATATGCCAAACACAGTAACAATTCTCACAATGTTACTGGGCAGCTCAAGCAAATCGATGAACAACAGGAGGGCAGTGACAATGACAGTTGTTACTGTGTTTGGCATATCGAATATGTAACAGGTGGCTTGCCAGGCTTTGCCATGAGGGCAAGATACTCTTGGTAGCTTGCCTGGGCTCTCTGAGAAGGGCAGAGGAATCGAACCCAGGTTGGCTGAGCCACCCGTGTGCAAGGCAAATGCCCTACCGCTGTGCTATCGCTCAAAACTATAAATGTTAACACTATTATAACCATGTTATCTAGCCTTCAATTTTTAAAATGACATCAAATGTTATCACACACACAAATGTGAACAAAAGTTTATTCAGTAAAATTAAAGAATTAAAACTGATATATGAGAAAATTTATCGAGTTCTGTCAACATAAAAATGTAAAAACAGTATCTGTGGTTACAATGAGTACATGCAATTCACTGTAAATGTAAAAATACAACAGTACTCTAGACAAGCCTTCTTATAAAGTTAGACTAGGTGAGCAGTAAGTATAGCAAGGGAACTTGAAAGAATTGCACATAGAAGTAAATGGGACATAGCTACGATATGAATGGGAAACATACATAGTGCTAATTACTACACTATAATACAAGCAAATTGCACACTTACTTTTAGAGTATATTATTCAAAACTGATACACATTAAGACTAAAGAATTTTCAAATATCTACCATTAAAATATCCCTTTATTCCAACACTCACATTATGGAATTCACGTAATAGCATTAGAAAAATGTAGTTATCATTCAGACACAGATTGTGTTAAAGGATAAAAGATCTAGAACATCTATCACCATTGACCTTCCTCAACTGCATTGTCATTTTGATCTAGCAACTTTAAAGAATCGACAGGGTAATGAAGTTAATCAGTGTGAAGGAACTGACTACAAAAAGCCCTTTAAAATTTTGCAGCAAATAGGTAATAGAAGAGCTCACCCTGAGCTGCCTTTAAAAAAATTTTAACGTACAATGTATACTAGAATATCATGCTAAATGCACATACTCTTAGCAATATCCTCAAAAAATAGATTAATCTCAGAATATTACACTGGCTTTGGAAACTTGTTCTGACTTACATCTGAATTCTATTTACAAATAGTCTGAAAAGAAACTGCTGTCAGAAACAGTCTAAAAAAGGATTAGACTGTAAGTTTGCTACAGTTGAAATCTCCTCGGCATCTATGTCAAACTCAGTTTTACACTAATTCTACATATTTTGCCATTTTATGGCACCAGAGTTTCTTAAATTATACATAAGTGCAAAAAAAAAAAAACCACAAATCTTTATCTTACCTGGGAAACAGAACCTAATACAACCTATACAACCCAGAGTTATTCCATAAATCTTTAAAAGTTTAACCTAATGTAGCAGTTTTATATCTTACCCATTCCTAATAAAAATGATCTGAAATGGAGTATAGGATTTAGAAATTTGTTCTTAAAATTAGAGGAGTGAGATGTGGACTCTAATATATCTCCCACTTGACCAACTTGTCAATGTATGTCAATTAGCAAAAATTTTAGGGAATTCTATAGTCTACTTCTCTATTTATGTCAGGATTGTAATGGTATTGGGAGAAAAGATATCTTTAAATTTTGATTTTGCTTTAAATATGAGCTTTAATGTTTTAAAAGTATATGCCACTTTTAACTTCACAGTATGTTAGATTATGGAATGGCTGCTTTAAAATCTCAGGAACAAGATTTATATTCAATGAACAAATTAGAGAAGAATAAGAACTCAGAATATTTTTGCTTTCTCACCTCCCGTCACTATACTAAAATGGTGAGGGGGAGATTGACAGCCCTCTGATCCATGCTAAAAAGGATTCAATTTCTCTTTCTGTGAGTTTGATGGTTGATAAGATTTTCCAATAGTTATCCAGCATTATGAGGGTAGGAAACCAAAACCACCAGCAACTAATAGTCAATTATAATAGCAATAAATGTAACATGCTTGTTAAATTCAAAGGCAGCTATATAAGGAATCAAATTAGTTTTGTATATAAAAAGGCTGTTTTTTGATGTTTCAGAATTTAAAATTTTGGGATACTAGTAACTCAATGGGTAATAAATCCATTAATTTGTAAAATTTCACATAAACAAAAACCAAGTTTGTTTCTCTGCCTGCCTAAAGGAAAACTAGCATGCATCATAACATCAATATGCTTTAAGAAAGTAATTCTGTACTTAAAACAAGTTTCATAATTCCTTCTCTCTCGGGCATGTGTATTTCCTGAATGGAGGTTTGTACAGTAACTAGTGACTATATCCATTTAGTATATTTAAAGTGCTGGTGGACACTGAACATTGAGGACAATCAAAGTCCAATGGTGGACACTGAAACACCTATACAAGTTACAAGATAGAAATTTGCTTGCATGATGTCCTTTTAGAAAATGAAACTCCTGGGGTCAGAGATGGCTTAATAAGGCTGAGCTTGTATGCTGGAGCTGTAGTTAGATTCCCAGCACCACATGATCCCCTGAGCTCTGCCAGGAGTGACCCCTGAGCACAGAGCTGGGAGTAGCCCCTGAGCACTGCCAGATGTAGACCCCCCCAAAAAAATTAAAAAAAGAATAAAAATGAATCTCTTTCCTTAGATCATAAATTCACATTTTATAATTCCTTCCCCACAGTTTACAAACTTCACACTAGAATGCTCTTCACAACATTGTTACAAAGAAGGCTAAATAGGACCACTTAGTAAGAAACAGAAAATTAATAAATATAAATTTATTGATAAAGATTTAACAAGAAAATCTCATCCTGATCTGGATTAGCACATGTTGAACAATTAAAGCTTTATCCTGTAGTGTGAGGTTGGGGGTCTGCCCCTATTTGACTTCTGTTGCCTAATTTTTCTCATCTAATTCTGTCATTTTACCAATCTCATGTTTATTCTGCCTAAAGTGAACTGGTTACATCAGAATAAGGCATCTGCTAGTTTCACAAAAAAAGACCATCTAGGTGAAAGAACTGTGAGTAGTAGACATTATGTAAATAGAAGAAAGCAAAGGACAAAAGTACAACAGTCAAATGTGAACATTCTACTTCAACTGCAAATGTACACCAACTTAAAAAAAAAACCCTTCAAGAACCTCTACAAATTACTTTGAGCTTAGTTTTCCAAATACGGAAAGCACATATGACATATATAGCTTAGTAATCCAAATAGGCAAAAAAACAAAATCAATTTTTTTCCTAGTTCACTGGGCAGTAGTCGTCAACCACTAATGTTTTACAACTATTTTTTCCTTCCTTAGCTTTTATCTTTAGCCCCTGCTTCCACATCAAACGTGGTAGTTAAGGGGATAACATAAATGTAAAGTGTCTTCAGCAGTAAACTGGAGGCCCAGCTCATTTCTTCAGTCAAGAACAGAACACGTGGAATGAGGTTCCTAAGTCACCAGGTAAAACTAAGGTCCACCTAATGCAGAACTGGTAGCTATTCAAATACTTTTTCCAATAAGTGTCTCTACAATGAGGGTATTTGCTGTCACACTTATTAAGATCAATATTTACATTTTTGAGGATGTGTTTGTTTTGTTGAATATAGCCCAAATCTTCTAACTTAGCTTCTTGCAAACATGCATTAGAAAAAAGTGGAAATTTCAATGTTGGCTTATTGAAAAACAAAAACAAAGCATATTTAAAAAACTGGGGATGGCGGTCAGGGATGTATTTCAAGAGCAGAGCACTTGCCTGCATGTATAAGGTCCTTTGATCCCTGGCACCACAGTAACAAAAAACAATGAACAAACAAATAATGGGTAGAGCACTTGCCTTGTTTGTTGAGGCCCTGGGTTTAATCCCTAGCACTAGGGAGTGAGAACCGGGAAACTTTATGCTAAAGGAATATTGTATAAAGTGCTTCATCTATTGAATACTGTGAAGTAGTAACAAGGAAAGTCAATAATGTTCACATATGATATATTGAAAATGTTATTTTATAATGGCCTTCATAACGGCAAACAACTTCTGAAATACCGGTGACTATTTGTGGCGTTCATACCTGACTCCTGCCGAGTGTGAAACAGAACTTAAAAAAAGGTTGTCAATAAAGAGAGAAAGCAAATTTTCAAAATCCAGTGAGATTGGTAATTATGTGATATACAAAAGATGCATATTTTTAATCTGGTCAATTAAGTTCCAGAATTCCTTTTCTCTAGTATCTGGTAGCATTATTACCAATGGAAAATAGCAAGTATTCTATGTTGATAGGACTACATAAGAGTTAAGACAACAAAGGCTGGGCTCACAGTGATGTCTTCTGGACCCCTGTTGTCAGCTGAGGCAGAGGGTGTAGACCTTGTTCTTCTACTTTTTTTTTTTTTAATATGAACTCTCCCTAAACTGCTTTACTTGATGACTATTCTCATGAAAGTCAGCTGTGCCCACCACGTTTAATCACTGCTGATTACTTAAATACCCTCTATTTTTCAGGTAAGTTTTACTTTATACATTTTACACAAGCTTTCTGTTTTACTTCAGTGCAAACATCCTGAACAGCACAAAGTCATTCAGCTCTTCAGAGGATGAAGTCAGTTTGTGTAGTGCTTAAAGTAGACTCTGGATCACCTGGAATGGAAATAGCCCACGGGAAGGTTCAGTACATTTTTGTCCTTAAGGGCAAAATGATCATCTTCAATTAGTGAAGATTCTTTTATCTGAAATTCCAGATAAAATGTTTTTAGCTTCAGTTAACAGGTAATCCAGAAGTTGTAACAGGAGATAGTCTTTCACTGAGGCATGTAGCCACCTCTTCTGACAGTCTGTGGTAAGTAACTTTTCGGCATTCCATCATCAACTGCAGCCTCCATCCCAACTGTTTCAAAATTCACTACTTGCCCCTCAGTAGCTGGACCAAAGGCGTCTGCTGCAGAAACTTCCAGAAACATTTTCATCTGCCCAGATCCATAAGACTGTGAAATATGATCTGAAATCTGCTGTTGTTTGAGTCTAACAAAATCTTCCTCGTTGACTAAAGGAGCTTGTTTTGACCTTTCAAAATGTGAACTATCTGGGCTGGTTTCATGTTGAGTGCAGTTCTGTTTGAAATACTGCTGTCGAGGCAAAATGCCATCACCACTGTCAGCATTATCTACTAACTGCAAATCTTCTGGGCGTTCCTCAGAATCCAGCAAGGGCTGGGTGGACTCAGATCTTGAGAAGACTTGAACAGATGGGACCTGGTGTCTGTAACCACTATGCACCACAGTGGAATACTGGACGGTGCTAGAAGTATTTTGTGCAGATTCATTTTCATCACTGCTGGAAATGCTTGGCCTAGAAGATGACATGCATGAAGACCCTCCGATTCCACTGCTATGTCCCTCGGTACTATTTTTTTCCTTTTTGAACAGGTCCAATGATTTCAGATCTTCTGGGAAAGGCTTTTTGTCATTTGGTTCTATTTCCACAACACTAACATCCGTGAAATTGCCATCTGAATACATTTGATCTTTTGGATTAAAATTATGCTAGAAAGAGAGAAAACGGATCATTACACTACAGTTTATATTCACTTAGGAACAAATGTATTTCTAAAGCAGTATTAAAACCACAGAATGGATGCATATCTGAAACTTCTTAGTAACTTTTGATGTTCAGAGATACTTTCTCTAACTTTATCTATATTACTGACAATTACCTGTATCATAGATATAAAGAAATGTTTCCAAAGAAATAAGAATGACATTTATTTCAGAATTTTAAATCAAATTTACTATTATCAACTTACGGCCAGAGTTAGCTTGACGGGATGCTTTTAATGCAGGTCTGAGTTCAATTCCCAGCCCTGCATGGTCCTCTGAGCACTACTGGGAGTAACCCCTGAGCACCCGTATCACTTTATGTCTAGACTATGATAGGATTATTTAGTAGTAAAACCAAAATATTAAAGGTTGCCAGAGAGACAGTACAGTGGTTAAGGCACATGTCTCACATGCTTCCAACCCAGGTTTGATCCTGGTACCACACATTTCCTTGAGTGTCACTCAGTACAGTCCTGGAGGCCCATGAATTATCATCAGCTGTGGCCCTGGAGGCCCCTAAGCAGCAAAAAAGTGAATCTATTAATTCCCAGCACTCTGGGCTGGACGTGTCACATCCTTGGGCCCTCACTGAATGGCCAGTCCAGATGGCTGAGAAAAACCAGTAGAGGATCTGAGTACCCTCTGAGAGGCCCCCCACAAATAGAATTAAAACTCAAAAGGGTTAAGGTTGCACACAGCCTATTCTGCCAATATGAAGCAAAAAGGATTTTTAGATGGCAATAAATATAATTTTCTCTAATTTAAGGAATCCAAAGAACAGTATGGGTTTCTAGTAATCAATTCATCAGTGTTAAAATGATTCCTACATTTGAATATTTAATCCAAAATGCTTGCCTCACAACAATCATCACATTTTAAAAGGTAAAAAGGTAAAGGCCCTCCCGTTGTTCATCGATTTGCTTGAGCGGGCCCAGTAACAAGTTCAATAATATATTTTAGCTATTTACTGAATAGAATGGAAACTATCAGAACAATTATGTTATAATCAAATCCTAAATGTGTATTTTAAACTTTGATTAGAAATCTTGTACTCTTCTTATCTTCATTTGCTTTTTATAATTCAGCTTATGTCTCTTGGTTGACCTCTACAATCATACCCAAATATTCCTGTGTATTAAATTTACTAATATAAATTCTTATATAGTGCATTTTATCTTACCCTTGGAGGTGTGTGAGGTGACCACTGGGCAATATGGCTCTTTGAAGGATCTGGAACGTTAGGCCAGATGTGTTTTTTAATTCTGGAGAGAGAAGAAATATGGCACATGTAGAACCACATGTAATAAACACTAGTCCTTACTTCTAGTCAATACACATTATTTTTCTTGCAGCCAATAGAAAACTGTCTAAAAGTTCCTCTGAAATCAAATCACACCTGCAATAAGTCACATCTTAGCCAAGTCATGAAACACCTATCCAAATTGAAGTACTGATTTTTTGATATCCAAAAATATCTAGATAATCAGTTAAAATTTCACTATAGTTACCAAATGAAAACACATAAGTTATTCAGAATATCTTTGTTATAAAAGACCTAGTTAAGTATACTTACCTCAATAAAGTCCCGAGCCCAAAATTAGAGTTTGAACGTAAAAATAAAAGTGAGAATGAAGTTTCTGCTTATGGCAAAGTAAGATCCTATCAACCTAACTTCCTCTGTAGGAATATCCATAAGAATATGGGTGGAGTAGATTCTTTGCACAAGTTTGAGGCCCTGGGATCAGACACTGCATGTTACTCTAGCACTGCTAGGTGTGACACCAGGCTCTAGGTGGGTATGACCCTCTCAACAATATTATACACAAATGAATAAAATGAATGTCACAAACATTTTTCTTTGCTAACGTCACAATTAAAAATTCCAAAAAGCCATCAACTAAAATGATAAAACATGTATCTGATGAAAGTTTTGTAACCCAAATAATTCATACAAAGAACTTATAAGTGCAATATTAGTAAGATTAACAAGGTAACTCAATTTCAAAATGGGCAAAGGATTTGGATACATTATAAAGAAAATATCTCTAAGTGGCAGATGAAAAGATACAATACTAGTTTTCTGGGAGACAAAAATTGAATCCACAAAGATCACTAGCCAGCCATAACAAAGAATGGCTAAAGTTTAAAATTCTGACATTATCAAGTATTGGTAATGTGGAATATTTGGAATTCTCACATTGCGGGCTGGGAAAACAACTGGCACAGCCACTTTGAAAAACAGCAGTTTCTCTGAGAGTTAAAAAAATAACTCAAACAAAAAATGGGGAAAATGTAAAAGCATGAATGAATACTTACAGATCTCGCTTATTAAAACAGAATAATACTCCCAAAAGGGTTACTAATAAGAATGCTAAGCAAACAGGTACAACGATGGCTTCAATTTCTCCTTGAGCTAAAATAAAACAGAAGGGATAAGTTGGAAAATAATTGCTCATACACACACTAAAATGTTATAATGTAATTTTCCAGTCAGATTACTACTGAAATGCTGAAAGATTTTTTGCAGTCATTTCAAACTGAAAGATTCCCCTCTTTCCTGCCTCATCAGTAAACCACTTAGTGCCTTACAATATATCTGGCTACACAGTAAGCATTACATAAGTACATGTTGGACTGAGGAAAAAACTGGTTAGTTTAATTTATTAGATATACAATCTATTTACTAACACAGCTTTCAAGTATAAACATTTATTATATTTATTATTGTATTATATTATCCTCACTCAGCTGAATAATAGCAAAAGCTTATCTTTGAATTCTTATTATCATGCCATAGAGAAATATCAGAACAATAGAATGGGTAGAACTGGAAAAGCTATAAAGCAGTATTAATAATTAAACTACAAATTTAACTTTCTAGAAAGAATAAAAATGAAAACCTCAGACAATATTTTTAATAGTTTTATTATTTTCAAAGAGACTATATAAAATCAATTTTAGAAGAATCAATAGACACAAAGAGAGAAACAGGAATATTATCTAGTAAGCTTAAGATATTATAATAATATCTGCCTTTAAAAGAGGGTTTATCAATTATATGGATCAATAATTGGGACAATTTATAATGAACTAAAAATTTTTTATTGTAGAGTTATACCCAGTGGTGCTCAGGGGCTATTACGGGTTCTGTGCTCAGTAGCTGTTCCAAGAGAAACTCATGGGACCATGATGTGCGAGAGACAACCCAGACCTCTGGCACACAAAATGTACTCCAGTCCACCCTGATGAGTGCTGTCTCAGGCCCTATAATGGACTTTCTGGCTTGTCTGGGAGCCAAACCCGACGATGCTCAGGGCATACTCCTCATTCTGTGCTCAGGGATCACTGGTAGTGCTTGGGGGACCAGACTGGGTGCCGGGTTTTAAACCTGGGTCTGCTGTACTATTGCTCCAGCCCCAAGATACAAATATGTTGAGATTATACTTCCAGCTTAACAAAGGAGGAGCAAGAGAGGGAAAGAAAAGATTCAAGTTTTACTAGTGAAAAAAGAGCCCATTTAAAAAGATACAAATTCTTTTTACAATGTAGGTAAAATAACTCAGAAACAGCTCAGCGACAATATTTTCTACAGTTTAAAGAAAGAACAAAAATTAAACACAAGAATAATAATTTATGAAGTTTATTCCTATGAATCTAAAGGTACACTTTTAACAAAGTTTTAGCATATTCATTAATTTCACTTTCAGTCTGATTAAATTTTAAAGAAAAAAAAAAAAAGGATGAAGCATCAATTTTTCTTACCGAACTTGGGTGTAGTAAAAGTGAATTCTGGACCATCCTTTCCACCTTCGTCAGTATACGCTGCCATTCGTACCATGTACAAAGTGTCACTAGTCAAAGATGACAGTGTGTATTCTGTGTGGGATGAATCTACATTCACAGCTAGTTGGGGTGGGGGGGCGAAAAAAAAAATCAATGAGAGTGTTTTATTCATCTCCCAATGTTTTTGCTTTATTAGGCCTAACTTGACAGTGTAAAAGTATTACAAGCTTCAGAAAACGGCTAATTTTTAATAGCAAAGTTTTAATACCAGTTTCATTTCCAATGACGGTTCTATAAAAGATAGTATAATTTCGGATAAATCCATTCTGAACATCAACAGGAAGTTGGTCCCATTCTAAGACAGCTTCATTTTTCCCCACTTTTTTGGTCCGAACAGTAGGTCCTTTAGAAGGTGCTGAAATGGAATAAAGGTATTTGTTAATTAGTAATAATTCCAGATGATCTGGACATAATGAGTCATCTTTATATGTCTTTAGACTTACGAGCTTGTTTAAGGTATGCCTTTATAGACTCGGGGCTTCCTGGTCCAGCAGCATATACTGGAGTAACTGTTATCAAGTAGCATTTGCTCTCCTCTAGCTTCCCTAAATAAAATACAGATAAATAATTTTCCACTATAAGCAAAAAATTCAAATTAATTTCATCATTTATCTTTATAATTTTATGACTATTCAAGTTTTTTCTTCAAACTCCATTATAATGAACTTGTAAGTAAACATTACCATTTATACACTACATTGATGATTAACAGTATTTATGAAAGTATTGCTAATACAGTGGATTAAAAAAGAATTTGAGTTATTTCCCCCAGAAAGTGACCCAATTTTAAAAGAAAAAATAATCTTGAGTATTTATTATCTCTCCAAATTAACCTATTTCATTAGCATGCCGTGGTCACATTCTTTACATGGCACTGTATCTGTCTGCATTAGGAAATAAGGGGTTTATTACACTGAAGTTTTGTCTTTAATAAGAACTTACACTACCTTCACCATGATTAAAAAGTTACATATCCCTAGCCTTCTTAAATAATTTTATATTTTCTTGGTGACTCAATATTCTAAGAGAATTTCTATATTATGCTATATTATGTACTGACAGGCTACTGGGCTAATGATGGTACCTGCCCAAAATGAAGGCCTCTAGGCCCTCTGGGCTGGGGCAATAGCACAGTGGTAGGGCATTTGCCTTGCATGCGGCCGGCTTGGCTGACCCGGGTTCTATTCCTTCGCCCCTCTCAGAGAGCCCAGCAAGCTACCAAGAGTATCTTGCCCTCGCGGCAAAGCCTGGCAAGCTACCGGTGACGTATTCGATATGACAGATACAGTAACAAGAAGTCTCACAATACAGACGTTACTGGGCCTGCTCTAGCAAATCGATGAACAAGGGGAGGACAGTGCTACCAGTGCTACCAGACCCTATATTACTTAGAGTTTCTATCGTCCAGTTATTACTAATGACAGTTATTACCAATGTCCAGTTATTATCAATGGGCTGGAGCAATAGCACAGCGGTGGGGCGTTCACCTTACAAGCGGCCAACATGGCCGACCCGAGTTCGATTCCTCCGCCCCTCTCGGAGAGCCCGGCAAGCTACCGAGAGTATTCGATATGCCAGACACAGTAACAACAAAGTCTCCAATGGAGACGTTACTGGGCCCGCTCAGGCAAATCGATGATCAACGGGAGGGACTTTACCTTTCCCTTAGTTATTACCAATTTGTCTCCTCTGTAGCTCTACAATGCTTTTAATTTGATAAGACCAATACATTAGATAACCAAGTTTATTAAGATTATACTTTCTAGGGGCTGGAGTGATAGCACAGAGGCGGGTAGGGTGTTTGTCTTGCACGTGGCCAACCCGGATTCGATTCCCAGCATCCCAAATGGGCCCCTGAGCACCACTAGGAGTGATTCCTGAGTGCAGAGCCAGGAGTAATCCCTGAGCATCGCCAGGTGTGACCCAAAAAACAAAACAAAACAAAAAAAAACAACAAAAAAAGATTATACTTTCTATAGTCTGCTACTGAAGACCAAACACCCTGTTTTTTGAACAAAGCTCAAACTATATATCCTATTGCTTACATTTTTCTGATTATGCAAAGATGAATTCTACTGGCTATCTTTAATGCAAAATATATACAAGCCAAATATTTTGTTTCCTCTTAAAAACTGTCATATGATCTTTAAAATCATGTAATAAACTTTAAAATGCACACCAAGATTGCTTAGAGCTTTATGGTGTCACATACTTTTTATTGATATTTCCAGTTAAGAGGCATAAGAATTTCCGAGTTTTCATTCTGCTTCACCTATTCAACAGCTAACAAGCTCACAAATTAGCCAGATGCTTGTATTTTCTCAATGAAGTCACTGTCACTGTCCTCCCGTTCTTCCGTTGTTCATCGATTTGCTCGAGCGGGCTCAGTAACATCTCCAATGTGAGACTTTATTGTTATTGTGTTTGGCATATTGAATATGTCACGGGTAGCTTGTCAGGTTTTGCTGTGAGGGCGAGATACTCTCGGTAGCTTGTCAGGCTCTCCAAGAGGGGCGGAGGAATCAAACTCAGGTTAGTCATGTTGACCACTTGCAAGGCAAACACCCTACCTGCTGTGCTATCGCTCCAGCCCACTCAATGACTACAAATCACTACAGAGATAAGACAACCAAAGTTATCCATATTAGTTGAATCCATATATTTCTTTCAATTAACAGCTTGGTAAACATTCCTTTGACAACCAAAACAAAACTGAAAGAGGTAAGTTTTAACTCCTCTTTTGTCAGTAAGTACACTCTATAGTTTGGTGAAGTTAAGTGTGATAACTTGGAAGCTTTTTAATAGACCACAAAACCTATAAAGCAGAACAGAAAATGGAAAAGGAAAGAGACTAAATAATTAGAAAAAAATACTTATTTCTAATTAGCCATACCTCTTAAATAGGTGTGATGGATAGCACCATCTTCTTGCTGCCAGTCGGTGATACAGGGTGATTTATCCGATAACACACACCACTCAATTATATATTTGTTTACAGATTCATCTGGAGCAGTCCATTCTACCCAAAGCATGTTATCTTTGGGAAATGCTTTAAGATCCATTACAGGTTTTGTAGCTTAAAAACAAAATTAAAACACTGATACAATAAATGAACATTTAAAAGCCTGCCATATTGTTTTATGTTTATCTCTATAACCATCTGATACAACTATCAATTTCTATAGTACATTAATATATTCTTATGTATAAAGTACTTCATTATAATTTACATGTTAGGATAGTTAATTCTTTTTTTCCTTTTGTGTAGTTAATTTACTTTGAGGCTTAAAATCTTCCTTTCCCCAAATTCTTCAAATATTTTTTAAATTACATTTTTTCTTTTTTTGAAAGTTACATGTAAAGCTACATTAAGTTACATTAAGTTAAATGTAATGTAAAGTTACATTAAGCCATAAGTATATAAAGTCACCCAAACATCAAAATAGTCTAAGAAAGCAGGTATAAAGATAATCAGAAACTACTTAAATGAATTAAATTGCTTACTACAAAGTTTGGGCTGGAGTGATAGCAGAACGGTAGGGCGTTTACCTTACAAGCGGCCAACATGGCCAACCCGAGTTCGATTCCTCCGCCCCTCTCTGAGAGCCCGGCAAGCTACCAAGAGTATCTCGGCAGAGCCTGGCAAGCTACCCATGACATATTCGATATGCCAAACACAGTAACAAGTCTCATGATGGAGACGTTACTGGGCCCGCTTGAGCAAATCGATGAACAATGGGAGGACCGTGACCGGACCGTGACTACAAAGTTTAAGTGAGCCACTTAATGGTAGAACACATTATTTGTCGACTGACTTAAAAATCTATGCTCTCCTGGTGATTAAATAAGTTTAAAAAAAATAATATTAAAACAAAACAACAAAAACTCAGCTACTAAAAACTTCTCTTGCTCTCTCTCTGTCTCTATCTCTCCCCCTTCTCTCCTCAATCTCCCCCATCTCTATTTTCTAAATAAAACTATTTTTAAGAAACTTTTAAATCTATGGCCATCCTTTCTGAAACTAAGGAAACAACCCGAGACTACTTCCTAGATTTTTTATGGGAGTCCTATTCTACCCATATGACAGGCTCCATTTCACAGGTACAAACCTTGAAAGTCACAAGCAGGAATACTTAAAACAGATGCATCCGATCTGCCAACCAGATTTCTTGCTGTCAGAGTGGCTATATAGCGATCATCCGTGAGGTTTACTTTCAGTTTGGTGTCATTAACTGTGTAATTTTGTGAACGCGACTTCCATCTTGTGAGAGTCACTTCATAATCTAAGATGTTTCCATTTGCTTCAAAAGGAGGCAAAGTCTGTAATACAATAGTTATATACAATGCTAATCAGTTAATGAAGTTCACAAATTCTGTTAGTATACTTAATATCTAAATATTTCATTAAAAGGAACTGACGGCCTCATTTTCAACTAATTATTAAAGCAACTACTACTACATATAGAGTGAAAAGCATGAATTCACTATTAGCGTGCACTTCATATACAGTTCTGCACTGTGACTATGTGCACCTAATTTATTTCAAAGCTGAGTATTTTTCTCTCCAATTTCCTCTCCACTTACTCAACATCCATGCATAATTATGGAATGTTCCACTTTTTGCTTTTCCAAATTCAGAAAATGATTTTAAGACAAAAGAATGGGGAAAAGGAAAGCAAGTCTCTAATGGTATGGAAGAAGGATGTCTTCTAAGCAGGATTACTTAGTGCAGCATACAACTTTTGATCATTAATATTTTATTTTGTATATATATATATATGTATTGCTTTTTGGGTCACACCTGGCAATGCACAGAGGTTACTCCTGGCTCTGCACTCAGGAATTACTCCTAGCGGTGCTCAGGGGACCATATGGGATGTTGGGAATCGAACTTGGGTTGGCTGCATGCAAGGCAAACATCCTACCCACTGTGCTATTGCTCCAGCCCCTATTTTGTATATTTAAATATATTTTATAGCAATACATTTTTAAGGAAAAGTTTATCATTCCTACTGAACAATTTCCTTAGCTCAACCTTTCATTTACTATGAAGCACTCACAAAAAATTCAATAAAATGAAAAACAAGGTCCCTCTTCTTATAGAACTTTATAAAATAATGTTGAGATACTGCAAGATTCGGCTGGAGCAATAGGACAGCGGGTAGGGCGTTTGCCTTGCATGCAGCCAACATGGCCGACCCGAATTCGATTCCTCCACCCCTCTCAGAGAGCCTGGCAAGCTACCAAAAGTATCTCGCCCACATGGCAAAGCCTGGCAAGCTACCCATGACGTATTCAATATGCCAAACACAGTAACAACAAAGTCTCACAATGGAGATGTTACTGGGCCCGCTCGAGAAAATCGATGAACAACAGGAGGACAGTGACAGCGACAGTGACTGCAAGATTCATTTACAGTTCATTAACTATTAAAACCTTTCTGCTCCTCTTTATGAAAAAGTTAGATAAATGCTTTTCTGACATTCACTGTCAGTGTCCTCCCGTTTCTGACATTAGAGTGAATAAAAATTTAAGTAAAAAATACTCCATTTATAACACCACTTAAAATGTACCAGAATATAAAAGCATGTTTTTACCTTCCATATGAGTTGTACAGGTCTATAGCCATGAGTATGGGATGGCTCAATCTTATACCAGAAACTTGGTGCCTTTGATGGTCCTGAAGAAAAGACAAACATTTTAAAGTCAGTTTCCTAGCAGGAGTGGGGACTAGTTCAAAGGACTAGTTGCCTATGTTCTGCATACAGAAGGTGTGGCTTCACTCCCCCGCACCATATATATATGGTTCCACTACCACTGTTGGGAGGAACACCTGAACTCTGAGCCAGGAACAGCCCCTAAGCACCACTGGGTGTGGGCCAATAACAAATAAAAAGTTTTATAACAGTAAGTGAAGTTCTTGAAATTGTCTTTTTCCCCCCTTAATATGAATTTCAACCACATGATATCATTCTTTAACCACTATTTTTCCAAAACCTGGCACTTTTTTTTTAACACATTGAAACTATTTTTCTAATCTTAAAATTATAAAAGTACAAGTATATCCTAAGCAATAATGAAAAATGCACCATTATTTCTTAATTTTAAAAATTAAAAATCATAAATGTTTAAAACACCTAAAAGTGTAAAATTAACAAACGAAGCAAATGTAGCATACTACCCTTATGCTATATTTAGAGTAATGATACAGAAAAATACACAAGACTACTATGGTGATTGCCAAAGATGTTCAGATGCACTTTATAAAAGTTTAGAATTAACTTTTAGAATTAGAATTCCCGTAGGTGATTTTTCAAAAATTTTATAACAACTGTAAAATAAAAAAAGGATCAGAATAAAATCTAAGCGGTCCTGTGTGAATCATGAAGAGGTGAATATATATCGTAAAACAAGGGAAGAGATAAGGCACATCAGCAAGCAATAATCACCCCTTCCAGCCCCAAAATAAAGATTATGGGAACCCAGGTCAGTTGCTTGCAAGATAAGCACCTTGCCTGCTGTACTGCCTTTTCAGCCCCAGGTTTATAATATTCCTATTCCTTAACATAGAACTTAGAGGCTTTGTTAACTAAATTAAAGCTTAATTCAATAATTTATAAAATTTGGAGTGCAACAGATTTGACTGAGATTATGTACCATTTCATAACAAAATGCAGAGGCACTAACAACATTTTGCCTAGGTGTGAACCAAAAAATAAAACAAAATAAAGTATTTCAGGGACTTTTCCAAACGGACTCAAATTGTCTATAAAGGCCCAAGAATCTCATTTAAGAATTCAGGACAAGGGGCCTGAGTGACAGTACAGTGGGTAGGGCGTTTGCCTTGCATGATCCCTGGCATCCCATATGGTCCCCCAAGCATCGCCAGGAATAATTTCTGAATGCAGAGCCAGGAGTAACCCCTAAGCATGGCTGGGTGTGACCCCAAAAAGCAAAAAATAAATAAATAAAATAAAAAAGAATTCTTGTCCAAGACAAAGGAATCTGGTTGAGAACCCCCCAAACATTGATAGGATTGCTTTTTTTTTCTTCTAGTATTAAGGAGAGTAAAACGAATTTTCCCCCTTTTTTCTTACATTTCTTTTTATTGAATCACCAGGAAATACAGTGATAAAGTTGTTTATGATTGTTTTTTTCCCTATTTTTCTGAGCTACTCCTGGTAGAAGTCAGGGAACCATGTATAACAAGGAGTGAACCATACCTCTTTTATACTATCTCCCCATTTTCCCAGCCAAAGAGAATAAGATTCTTACGAGATTTTTTTCCTGTCATTGGTATTTTTCAAATCATATGACTTTCTAATCTCTAGAAAAATTGGAAGTGAAATTATATAGTTTGATACTCAGGGGATGGGCTACGAGGTGTTAAAGTCACAGTGCTAGGCACTGGGATCTAAGAGAAAAATGATAGGGAAATGTTCAGAAAGGAAAACCTATGTGCCACAGTTATTTCTTGGTGGAAATAGAAGAAATTAGTAATGACAGCTGCTTTGGAGAACGAATCTTACTTCAGACCATATATCTTTTTATTATTATTAAATTTTATTTTTTATTTATATCATCATCATCATCATCATCATCATCACGGAGAAAATAAAAATAAACCAGCCATAAACTCCAGGATACTTAACAGGGGTTTATTAAGTGCTAACAAAAATAATGGATAAAAAATGTACAAATATCTTTTTGATAGCATGATTTTATTGATTCAGGATAATGGTCCTTTAAGACACCATTTCATGATAATTTTCTCAATTAGGTAATAAATATATTTGCATTACAAATAATTCATGTTGATATTTACATCCTGATATCATTAAAAAGTGCAAAATAGTAAAGTGCAGACAAAAATAATAGATAAAAATGTCACAAATATCTTTTTGATAGCATAATTTTATTGATTCAGAATAATGGTCCTTTAAGACACCATTTCATGATAATTTTCCCAATTATGTAATAAATATATTTGCATTACCAATAATCCATGTTGATATTTACATTCTGATTACTAATTTGAATAAAATGATCACAAATAAAAAGCAAAAAGGTCTGCGTTATTAAAACCAGACAAAGCAGAATTCCAATAGCTTTATTTATTTGTTGTGCTTTGGGGTTTTATTTAATTTATTTTTGTTTTGGGCCACAAATGTGCTCAGGGCTACTGCCAGATTTGTGCTTCGTTGGTTCACTCCTAGAAGTGCAGTGGCTCAAACCCGGGTCTCCCGTAGGAACGCGTAAGCTCAGCCTGCTGAGCTATCTCTCCAGCCCCAGCTTTATTTCTTCATGTACTTATTTACTTACTATCTTCATATGTGACCCCACTTGCTTCTTCACTCCAGTCACTCCAGAATCCTTTGCCATCAGCCTTCATACAACGAATTCTAAACACATATTCTGTAAAAGGTTTAAGGTCCTGAACAGTGAACGACGTTCGGGTGGATGGTGTATCTTCAAGAGGAACCTGAAAGCAAAGCAAATTGACTAATGAGAGGCATTAATGTATTTTTTTTTTTACAGATTAAGATTAGTAAATTAAACTCAAGAAATTACTGCCAAGTCAAAAAGTTGAAAACAGTAAGGTTTAATAGATCAGTATGGAAACATCTTTAAGTAAATAATCTTCCTTTATTAAATATCTTATGAGGTTATATTATATCTGTCAAGTATAGACAGCTCTTCAGATGGATGCATAAGAATTTAGGAGGAAAATTCTGAGAGACTATTTCACATTACTTGGTCCAAATTCAGTAACATCTGACAAAGTTCTCTCATCCTGAGCATGCCCAATGCTTAGATAATCCCCTCCCTATGAAGTTAGAAAAGAAAATGCTGCATTCTGAAGTTCTAATTCACTCCCAAATTGACAGATTTCTTCTTCTGAATGCACGGGTCATAACTAATTCCATCGATTTTCCACTTCCAATTATAACCGGGTAAAAAAATTAGGTACTTTTCAACACAGGTGCTTTCCTACTAACCTTAATGATTTGTAAATACGCTTTAGCACTTGAGCACTGCCAGCTGTATCTCCCAAACAAACAGAAACAACAATCCTGTCACCACCCCGCCCCCCAGCCAAGTCTAAAATATTTCTTTAGCTGACAGCATCAACTTTGGATTCACAGTCATTCTCCTTTTCAGACTTACAAGTGCCCCACCAATCCCTTTCTATATCTTAAGGTAGGCAAATTTTCTACAAAGGGCTAGCTAGTAAGTATTTTAGGCTACAGATGAGTCTGTTGCAAAGTAAATAACTCTTTAGATAAAGCACAAAATAGCTGTTGACAATATGTAAACAAATGAGTGTGGATAGGTTCCAGTGAAACAAGAAAGAGTTGGTAAGGAAGAATCTGACATACAGGTGAGTTATCGAGCTCTGTTCTACCTTATCCACAAAATCTCTTTAGCTCTGCTCTACTCACTATTTGTGCTCCTTTTACTTTCCATCAAACGTTAGTCCTACTAATCTGTATCACTTCCATATTTTACAGTATGCAGAGATAACTGCATACAGAAAATTTTTATTTTCTATTTGGAAGTCTTTCTGTTGGATCTTGCTTGAAATACAGATCTAAAAAGAAATGTCACACCTGGCTTGAAAAATTAAGATATACAAAAAAAGACTGTGGTCTGGAGAGGTCCTGGGTAGGGTGCTTGCCTTTCATGTAGCCAGCATGGGTCTGATAGCTGGCACCACATACGGTACCTGAACACTGCCTGGAGTGATCCCTGAGCACAGAGTCAGGAGTAAGCCCTGAGTTACCAAAACCTAGGAGGAAAATTAGAGCTTCACAGCAATTTCTCCAAGTAGTAACACTAATGTGCCTCAGGGAATAATGGAAGTCTCAAGCATAATCAGGGGATGCTTTCTGTTTGTTTCTTTAAAGGTAGGTTGACTTTCAGGGGTTGTTGAGTTATTTCGTTTTCAGATAGGGATGCAATACATTAAATAAGATCGGAAACCTCTAGCTCAGTGTTGCAAGAAAGACTGTTTGGATCAGTAGTAATTTTTGGTTTACCTGGATCCAAGTTGAAGAATCTTTGGTTCTGAATTGAATGCTGTATTTCAGTCTTAGAAAATCCTGAATACTTGAGTTGATCCATGTCAATTTTAAGATACTAGAAAGCTCCTCTGAGCTGGTGACTGATAAATTATGTGGTGGATTGGGCTTCACTAAAGAATAAAAGAAAAAAAAGTTTGCCATTTATTTTTATAAGTCATTACAGAAACTCAAATTACACTTTATGATTTCACAATATTCATTCTCCTTAAGTGAATGAATTTCTCTTAAAATGGTGCTATACATAACATTTACAATGAAGAAGCAAATTTATATAGAAACTAGGTTTTCTTGTCAGTTTATTATATTACTATTCATTTGGGCTCAGATATCAAAAAAAATTAAATATACATTAAAAATTTTTAATAGCACATGTTTACTATGGCAACAATGAGACATATTTTTAAGTAGTAAAATATAATATTACAAGTGAAAATAGCTCTAACTACAGTTGGGCTCTATTTTTATAATGTTTCCATACTAAAAATAAAAATAAATGTATAATTTAATAAATTATCTTGTGTATTTCTAATAAATTCTAAATTTCAGGGTAAAACTTGCCTTTATCCACAGGATCGAAATCAATATGATCTGAAATAACCTTCCCAAGGTCATTCTCCGCTTCTACCCAAACTTTAATGTTGACAAAATATACAGGAGAATAATCAACAGTGCATGAGGTGGGATTGCCGCCACGTTTTGTTTTACAATCATCAAATTTCTCCGTTGCCCTATATACAAAAATGGGAGAATCAATTATTAAAAACAGATCTGAAAAGATTTGGATGAAAAAGATTACCTGACAAGGGTTTGATGAAACAGACTATTACAATTCAGAATAGATAAGTTAATTCCAATACATTTGGAATAAATTGCTGATTGTGGAAAGCAAAATTTCTGTAAAAATTGCCTATTTTTGAAAACTGAGGGGTTTTTTTCTTCTTTTTTCTCTTTTTGGGTCACACCCAGCGATGCTCAAGGATTACTCCTGGCTCTGCACCCAGGAATTATTCCTGGTGGTGCTTGGGGGATCATATGGGATACAGAGGATCGAAACCAGGTCGGCTGTGTGCAAGGCAAATGCCCTACCCACTGTACTATCGCTCTGGCCCCTAGTAAGCAGTTTTATGGGTATCTGAACTCAATGTCTTAATACTCCAAATTCATACATATTCTGAATTATCTGTTGAATGATGGTATGACTCTTGCTGCTCAGATAAAAATCTTGGTGTTGATCTGTACTTTAAAACACCAAATTATTTAAAAATTTTATTCCATTAATATTTAGAAGTCTTTTAAGGTGTGGATGGAGGGGAGTTTGTTTGGGGGCTACATTCTGATTGGTAATCACTCCTGGCAGTAATCAGGGAACCACATGGTGGTGCTGAGTACAGAACCTAGGCCTCTGGCAAGCCAAGCACGTGCTCCATACCTCTAAGTTATCTTTCTGGCCCAAGACTGATAGCTTTATGCTCTATCAACGTCTCTCCAAAATTATATGATATTCTGGAACAGACTAATTTATGGTGAAGATAGTAAGGTTAGTTGCTTTGTGAGATGAAGTGGGATAGGGCTGTGGCTGGGGTTAACTAGAAAAGTCATGAAGAAACTTTCTAGGGGGTTGCTGGTAATGTTCTGTATCTGGTCAGGAGTTACAGAGGTGTAAACAATAATCAAAGCTCACTGCATGGGACTAACAGATAGTAGAGGGGTAAAGTACTTGCCTTATATGCAACTAATCCTGGTTCGATCCCTGATATCACAAATGGTCCCCTGAGCACTGCCACGAATGATCCTCGATCGGACATAGATCCTGAGCACCAATGGATAAGAACCCTTTCCCCCACAAACAAAACAAACAAAAAACCCTCACTGAATGATATGTTTAAGATATATAAGGATACCTAAGATATATAAATTTAATTAAAAGAATACATTTATAGTATCCAATTAATTATATTCAATGATGTAAATGGAGAAATACTGAAGGGTTAACTAATGTCTGAAACTCTCGTTGAAGTAAGGAAATATGAATTGACAGAAGAGAATTACTATAAAGACACATATGAGAGCAAATGTATTAAAATGTTTATTGGAGAACTGACGCAATGAGAATGGGTAAGAGTTTACTAAAGGGCCAGAAAAATAGCTCAAAGGGCACAGACTCTGTGCAGGAGGTCCAGACCTGATCCCTGGCACTACATGGCCCCCGAGCACCAGCAGGACTGACTCCCGCAGTAGTCACTGAGCAACTCTCAGGTCTTGTCCCGCAACTCTTCCCCCAATAAAAGCTCACTGATTAAAACATTCTTCCACTAGGACTATTCTTTGTTTGCAAAACCATGGAGAATTTTACAATATACGGAATAAGTCAACAACTGAAAAATTTTTTCTTTGGGGGAGGAATAAAATAAACCAAACCTGACCAAGTCTCTATGTCTAATAGCAACATTTAGAAAATAAATGAACAGAGTAATATTTAACAATATGTTCAATACTAGTATTAACAACTGATTTTCAAAGGAAAAGAAGAGAACGCAGAACCTGTGCTTAAAAGACACAGACTCTGATTATATGCTTAAAAACATACTGATTCGCAATATAAGCAAGTGTACTCAGACACTGATTTGAACAAGCATAAAAACATGCACATAGATTTATAAGGGAACTGGGAAAATTTTAATACTAACTGAAAATGTAACAATAACAAAGTAATTTCAGTTGTACTTGGGGGTAATAATGGTGGTTCATAAACTTTTCTATACAACATCTTTATCTTTTAGAAATATGTACAACAAAAATATGAGATTAATACCCAAGAATAGCTGAGATCAACACCAGGAGGATTACTCCATAGCTTAGAGGCCAGCCGGGTAGTCTAGGGGAAAGGGCAGTTCAGACAGAGAAGGGAGCACCAAATAAAGGGTGTTTAGAGGATCCTCCCAGGAGGGGAAATGCATGTTGAAAGTAGACTATGAACTGAACATGTTTGCCACTCAATGCCTCTTTTGCAGACCACAACACCCAAAAGGAGAGAGAGAACAAAAGGGAATGCCCTGCCACAGAGGGAGGGTGGGAGGGGGGGTTGGGGGGAGATATTATCCATGATGGTGGAAAATGGGCACTGGTGGAGGGATGGGTATTTGATCATTGTATGACCGAAACCCAAGCACAAAGATTTGTAAATCTACAACTGTACCTCATGGTGCTTCACTAATAAAATAAAATTAAAAAAAAAAAAGAAATATGTACAACAACATTTATAAATAGTGTAATATCTCAGATTTTATTCAAGATAGTATGGGTGAGCTGTACAAAACAGTACAGGAGTTAGGCATTTTCCTTGCATGTGGCAAACATAGATTTGAGGCCCAGGACCACAGACTCTGAAGTGATCCCTAAGTACAACCAGGGTAACAAAAAATAAAGTACAGGTAGGACACATATCAATTAAGATTGGAAATTAGCTGATCATTGCTAGAAATTGATGATGAGTACGTGGACATTTACTAAACTATCTAATTTTCTATGTATTTTTTAGGTATTCTAAAACGAAATGTTAATAAGGCTAAATAAATTTGCCTTCACTAATACTACTGGGCAAATAAAAATCCTGCACAATGATTAACTTAATAAATTCAACATACAGCCAGCGTAACTAACTTACCATTCAGATTTTAAGGTGAAGTTTGTTTCTAGATAAGTTTCTCTTCCAGGATCCCATTGACACTTCATGTTTTCTCCTTCATTCACAATGCAACGCAAATTTTTAGGTTTTTCTGGGGGTACTAAAAGGGAAAAAAATCAGCAATTCACAAAATTTTACATCCACAAATAACATGCACAAATAACAGGCAACACATACATATCTGTAACCTAAATTAGGCGGAAAAGATAAAGAAAAATGTATAGACGGGCCAGCCATGTGGCTCAAGGGGTACAAGCAAACGTGCAGGTCTCAGGCTTATTCCCCCAAACTCGCACAGGTCTTTCAGCCACCACCAGGTGCGCCCTCACAACAATTCAAGAAGTTTTTAAAAAGATATGAACCAAAAATCAAACTGGCGACTAAAAACTCAATTTCTATAAACTCAAACTTCCTTTTAGGTAGTAAAATACATACTCCTATCATAATAGATCTATCATAACATTAAAGAATATTTGTGAAGTTACATAAACTTTCTGGAGCGATAGCACAGCGGGTAGGGCATTCGCCTTACAAGCGGCCAACATGGCCGACCCGAGTTCGATTCCTCCGCCCCTCTCGGAGAGCCCGGCAAGCTACCGAGAGAATTGGATATGCCAGACACAGTAACAACAAAGTCTCCAATGGAGACGTTACTGGGCCCGCTCGAGCAAATCGATGATCAACGGGAGGGCCTTTACTTTACTTACATAAACTTTCATTAATAACTGGCTCATAACAACTGATTTCTCTATTAAACATATAGTAAAGTAATATCTGAATGTCAATTAAAAGCAATTAAAAACGAAAAGGATTCACATAGTTTTCTTTGTAATGCTTTTCCAAACAATGAAGGAAAAAGCAAATGCCCAAATCACAGCCTTGCAATGCACTTGTTTGCTATATGCTATAAAAGAAATCTAGTATTTATTTCAATATATTTAGTTCTTTGGTATTTATTTACCATTTAGGGCAGCTTTGCTTTCTTTGCTTTCTCACCCATTAAGGGATACTGAAAACTATTAAAATACATTCACAGATTTCAATTTAATAATCTTGGATCATCTCAAGTAAAATATTTTTTTAGAAAACTGACTTTTCTACTAGAAAAGACATAAAACCTGTATTACTCTATAGGCTTATCATATAATCACAATGAAAATTAAAAATAAATATTCCCAATAAGATATAAGAACTGAGAACCAGAGAGACAACACAGTGAGTAAGGCATTTGCCTTCATGTACCCATCCCAGTCTTAATCCTCAGTATCACACTAGGAGATAGTCCTGAGCACAGAGCCAGCAGGAAGCCTTGAGTATAGCTAGGTGGGGCCCAAAACACAAAACAAAGCAAAAAAATTGCAAATTAAAAAATAAGAGCTGACATGTTACTATATAATCACTGACAATGTAATTCAAGGATTCTGACAAAATCTGAAATAAAACAAAAACAAAACTTACATCCTGAAGTTACTCTGATTCCATAAATGTTCTGATCAATCTGTCCAAATATGCGAATGTTGCAGGTGAGTTGAACATTTGATGACATATTAATGAACTTGACACTAGATGCCGTTCTATTTATGACGGTATATTGTTCTTGAGGAACAACAACACGGTTTATCTTCCAGAAAATATGACTAGCATTTACACTGTAACTATCCATACATTTTTCCTTTAGTACACAAACTGCAGAGAAATTAGAACCACGTTGAATAACTGGAGATTCAGGACTGCGTGTAACTGGAGATTCAGGAGTGATATGGCCACATGTTTCGATAAATTGACCTAAAAAGGAACAACAATACATGTAAAAAGAAACTGAAATATCTCAGTACAAGGTAATAGTTTCCATCAATACATCCACTCAATCTTCACTAAAACATCTCTAAAGACAAAGATGAATGATTTAGCTCTTAATGTAACAGGTTAACTTTGTTTTTAGAAACAAGAGACTGCCTGCAGCATGGTCATATTTGCTCCACCACCAGTTCTCTTCTGTGATTCTGACTATGGGGAATAAAATTAAACCTTTAGTGGCAGTCTACGGTCCTGTGCAGTTCTGATGCTGTTGAGTTATGGATAGGGAGAAAGGAAAGAGTATTCATCACTCTTATCAAAATTCAGGCAGCAGACTCATGGAGAGACTCACAGCTCAAAGGACGAGAGAAGACATGCATGCCATGTAAAAGGCCCAGGATTGATCCCTGGCACCATGTGGTGAAATTTAATTTTAATTACCAAGGACCGCTCCTGAGTATTATGTCAGAAGTAGTCCCTGAACACTATGAGATGTGGCCCAAAAACAAAACAAAAAAATTTTAAATGAAGGTTTCAGCAACAAAGGAAATAACATGAGAAAAAAATAAAAACCAGAAAAGCAAAATGGACAAATATATAATTTTTTTAAAGTGTATGGGATAAATTTCCTTATTAGAAAACAAAGAGGGGACAAAACAATTGCACAGTGAGTAGGGTACTTGCCATGCATGTGGTCATGCCAGGTTCGATCCCCGGCATCTCATATGGTCCCCCAAGTCCTGCCAGGAATGATCCTGAGCACAGAGCCAGGAAAAAACCCTGAGCATAACCAGGTGTGCCCCTGCCAAAAAACAAAACCCCAAAATATACCCCTAAAGAGTAAGACATATTTTAAAGAATATGAAATTAGATACTTTAATTATCATCTACTCAGTACTGATGATATCTGAATTTCTATCCCTAGCCCTAATTTCCAATAAGCTCAATAGTTCATAAGTCATAACCTCCTGGAACCAGAGACAGTACAGGTATTAAAGCATTTGTCTTGTATGCAACTAACTTCAATTCTCTGCTGGTACTGGTACTGCACAGTTCCTAGAGCACCATTAGGAGAAGTCCCCTCGGGCCTGACACTAGTTAAGAGCATGGAGTGGCTTAGAGCTTTGGTAAGTGTGCTACACACCCCTTTCACCTCAAAAATAAAGGCCAATTCTCCTGAGATATTATAGGTATTTTAAAATTAGTAATTCTAAAATATTATGTACAAACAAAATTACTATTTCTCTATCTCTGCTTACCAGTATCACCCCCAGCAACTAAACCAGATAACTACATCTTAATCTAATTAACCTCTTCCCACCATCAACTAGCAGTATGACAGTAAGACTGGTGGGTTTTACATTTATTGCTGGGGTTGGGGTGGGAGGTAGGCCTCTTTTGGCTCAGTGCTCAGGATCTGTTTCCTGCAGCAGCAGTGCTTATGGGACCATGTGGTGTTGGGGATACAACCCAGGGCTACTGCATGCAAATCATGTGCTCCACAGCCTGTTGAGCTATTTCACCAGCCTCTGGATTTCTTAGTTTGTCTATCAATCTCTTCTCACCAATTCTGACCGCTAAAGTCTGGGGCATCTTATCACACCATTATTTGACCTCCCAGTTACTCTATTCATTACTGCCAGAGTTAATGTTCAAAAATGATTATTCCATGTTCCCATTCTTAATTATTTATTACTTCAAGATAAAAGGATCAACTATTTGAAATAATTTTATTATATTTCTGTAATCTTTCTGCCTAGAATTTTTTTTCCTCAAGCCATACCCAGCAATAGTCAGGGTTACTCCTGGATCAGTGGTGCTAGGGGGATCAAATGGGGTGCCAGGAAATCAAACCTAGCTCAGCTGCATGCAAGGCAAGAACCCTAACCAGTTCCCTCAGAGGTGACCTACTCAAGCAGTTAAAAATAAAACAATAATAGAATTATGAAATTGACAATAATAAAATTGTAAAATTGAGAAGAATCATTACTTGAATTCTTTATTCTGAAAGCTAAGATACCTTTACATAGTTAATCCCTATTATTCAATGTGTTCAATTTCAATTCCCACTTGGAGAACACAAACTAAACTGCACAAAGGGTAGAACTATACCAAAAAATTTGGATTAAAAAATTCATTATTTTATAAAATTAGAAAGGATAAAAAGTTTAAAAATTATACTTCTTTGGGGAACCTGGGCATAGCTCAGCGGTAAAGCTCAAACTTTGTATGAATCAGATCCAAGTTCTATTCTGGGTTCTATCTACACACACACACACACACACACACACACACACACACACACACACTATATAATTATATAAAATCTCTCTTCCTCTGTCCCTTCATGTCTGCCTCTTGGAACACACTATTTCTGGGGTTCCTCACATCAATCTGAGTTGCCCAATTCCTTTCTCTTACTTTACAGAGTTCTCTCTTCATGTTTCCCAAGTGGAAGTATTGAGGGTATTTATGAGCCTTACCTAGAGTTTCAGAGGTGAGGAAAAGAGCCAAAGCAGGAACTATCCAAATCTGAAACGCCAACATCTTGCAAAGTATTTCTGTAAAAGATACATGTAATATTATTTAATATTCCTTCTCTTACTGCATACATAAGTAATTACATAATACCTAAAGATGTTTGTTCCCATTGTACAAATATTTTCCATAAGATAATAAAAATATTTATGAGACTGTGTAGAATATTTTTCTTTATTCCCACAGAAATTATTACTGTTACCTAAAACACTGCTGAAAAACATAACATACTTTAAGGTTAATTAAGAGAGCAATCATATTCATTAAATGAAGTCCTGCACTAGTAGTAAATATTTATGTGAGGTTATGAACTTCAGAGACAAATATTTGTGGCAAAACGTACCATAAGAACAATATATAACTGATAAAATGGCTTGTGGGGGAAGAGCCCTCACAGCACGACTAAAAATATCTTGGGAGATTGGCCAAGATGGCAGAGAAGGGTGCACTGTGAATCACACAGGTCAAAAATGCAACTGAACAGAAAGGATCAAAGGATTCCTCGAGGGTCTTTCAGTAGAGTGTGGCAGTAATCTGCTAAGATCACTGGCGGAGTTTCCACTGAAGAATGTTTTTCAAGTAAGCCAACATAAAGTGTGATGACAGGGGTAGGAGAGGCAGAGAAGCCAAAAGAGCAAAGGGTGATGGAGGTGACACAATAGTGAATCTGTGGACTACAAATGCACTCACAGCCTCTCAGACATCGAGCTGCACAAAGCCACAGGCTTAGAAGTTGAGGCAGCACTTTAGGCCGAGGCTTCTATTCTAAGGTGGTGCCAGACAAAGACAAAAGAGTGTACCAAAAGATTGTACCTTCCCCAACAAACTCCATTTGAAACAACAGGGCCAAGGGTAAGTCACTGGGATCTTGTATAAAAGCAGTAGATACAGAGGCACAGACTTTGCTGGAGAGGCTCAGCTCCACGTGTACACAACACACAGTGGCATAGGGCTTGGGTGGAACTGGTGGGTAGCAGCCTGAGACTGCGAGACTGCCACCCATGTCTGCACAGAAACATCCCTCACTGCACAGCAGGAGCTCACCAAATTAGAGACCTATACAAACAATATAGGTCATATTTTATTAATACAATGCTATTAAACTAAATTATTAGTTACTGTGACATATACTGTGTCTCTGATTGGGGGAGGGAAATTTTTTGGCAGATAACTATTATTGCCACAGACTGGTGTGGGTCTATGGGCCAAAGGTTAAAGAACAGGGATAGAGAAGTTGAAGAACTCTAAAACAATTTAGAGTTCTTTACCAAGTTAAAAGTGTTGTAATAAAAAAATAAATGAAAGTGTCATAAGACTAGGTTTATTCACTCCTCAACTTGTACTCAAGAAAAATTTATATCCTGTAAGGACTTACAAAATTCAACACAGTTTTATTTATAATAGTTCCCAATTGGAAACAACCCAAATGTCCATCAACTGGCAAATTGATAAACACATACCCAAGTAATGCTACACTCATGCAATATATCACACAACAGTAAAAGAAAATGAATCAGTGACAGGTGTAAAAGCCTGAAAGTGAGATATGTCAGAGATAGTACAGTAGGTAAAGCACTTGCCTACCCATGGCCAATCCAGGGTCCAATCCCCAGGATACATGGTCCTTAACCACGCAAGGTGTGATCTCTAAACACAGAGCACTGCCAAATGTGGCAAAGAAGTTAAGGAGGGAAAGAGGGAGGGAGGAAGAAAGATGCAAAAGGTTGCATCTCTAGGTTGTAACTATAGAAACGTCTACAAGTGACAAAACTGTGACAGAAAGTAGATCAAGGATTAGCTGGGGTTGAGGTGTGGAAATGGAATCAAAGTAAAGGTACAAAGGAAATTTGGGGGGACAAATATTTTATGACGTGTTAGTAATGGTGACAAGCAAGACTCTATATGTGGTCAAAATTCACTTAACTATACAAACTGTGAAGGTGCACTACTGATTTTACACTACTTACAAACTAACCAGTTAGCCTGCTAGTTTCACGGATATTAGAAGTCATGGGGTTCCTGAGTCAGAGCCAAAGGACTTCATTAATCATTCTAATACCAAGAGTGTTAGCCTGTGCCAGTTGCCTGACCCCAATTTACACAGAGCATTTTAAGAAGAGTAAAGTAACATATAACATGTAGACAAAGCTTAAAAAAACAAAATCTTTTTAAATGGCAGTAAACATGCCCGCCCTTTATTCTGAAGAAAGACCATTATCTCTATTTCCCAAAGATGTAAGCAAATTTGTCCTTTGCTCAATGAAGAGACAACCATTCTATCTTCCAGTATCTTTTGAAAAGACAGTCATCTCTTTTTCAAAGGCACTTTTATGCATAAAGCACTGCAGAAATAATGAAGATATGTGTGGAATTATTCCCTCATAAAATGTGTCTAAAAATAGGTGAACTTTAATGTTTATAAACTAGACCTCAATCAAAACCACACCAGCCATGCTCAAAGTATTTAGCCAAAAGAAATGAAGTGTCTATTTTTCCAAAAGACATTTATAAGTGTGTATATAGAAATTTTATTCATAAAAGCTGAAAAAGCATAAGCTACCAAAAATCCACAGGAAATAAATAAAATACATGTGATAGAGTTGAACAACTGAATCATAAAGAAGAAAGAATAAATTTCAAGTACCTTCAACAAATACTGAATTTCACATATAATAATGAAGAAACCAGACAAAAATAAATCTACTGTACATGAGTCTCCTTATATGAAATTCAAAAATAGGCAAATAGTTTCTGGTGATAGATTTCCAAGTAGTGGTAATTTTTAGAGTAGGAGAAAAAACAGAAAGGAACCCTGTGAGATACTGGACAAGTTCTATATATTGTTCTGAGTGGTGCAAAACCATTCATGGCAGTATTTGGGAAAGCACGTGCAGTGCGGGGGATCAAATTGGGTTGACCACGTGCAATGGCAAGTGACTTCACCCTTGTCCTTTCTCTCTGGTCCTGATACCTCTGTTCTTATGACTTTGTCGGCCCTCAGGAATGCTTTGTTCTCAGGGTCTGTATAAGAGTTCCACTCATGGTTTTCAACTGTTGGCCCCCACCCTGCCTTTTACAGGAAACTCCAGATCACAGATTGTCAGGATATATATATATATATATATATATATATATATATATATATATATATATCCTTTTTGGGTCACACCTGGTGATGCACAGGAGTTACTCCTGGTTCATGCACTCAGGAATTACTCCTGGCACTGGCAGTGCTCGGGGGACCATATGGGATGCTGGGAATCGAACCCAGGTCGGCTGCTTGCAAGGCAAACGCCCTACCCACTGCGCTATTGCTCCAGCCCCTGTTAGGATATATTTAATATATATGACATAAGCTCATGTGGTATAAGGGAATTAATTAAGCTCAGGGATTCTCACTTGCTTTCATGTTGAGCCACCTGCCTGGTCCGTTCTTGCAAAGGTCACAAACTGGGATGCTTTTATTGTTGCCTATGACCCCAGTGTTTTAGTTCATGACCCTAACACTTGCTACGTAAGCACCACAAACCACTGAGTCTATCTTTTGGGTCCCAGTTTTACAGTTTATGTATCTGTGGCCCAGTGAAAATAGAAATTTTTTGCAGAGCTCTAAGGCAGAAATAAAAAAAAACAGATAATGATATTTGTATGTTAATGTTTCTAATAGTACCACTACATGATCTAGGCTTACCATGTGTTAAGCAGCAATAACTTCTTCAGACTAGATGAAAATTTCTCCTCTGTCAATGGTCTGTGGAAAGGTGGTTGAAAATCACTGCTTTTGTTAATATAACCATTTTAGCTATGCTAATTCTTTTAATCAATGAGCATGAAAACTTCTCCAGTTTTTCTATTTTTTCAACATGATTGTTTTCTGTATACAGGTATTTCATTTTTTTGGTAAAATTTATCCGCAGATATTTCGTTCTTTTTCTTGTAATTATAAACTGGAAAACCCTGAGCAAAAATGAGATACTATGCTCCCTTACTTCAAACTACAATGCAAAGCAATAGTAATTAAAGTAGCATGGTAATGGGATTTTTAAAAGACATATAAGGACTGGAGAGACAGAACAGGATGTGGGGCCCTTGTCTTCCATGCAGCCAACCTGGGTCCTATCCCCAGCACCATTCATGCTCCCTAAGCACAAAGCCTGTAGTGATCCTTAACTGCAGAGCCAAGAGTCAGTTGTGAGCACAGCTGGGTGTGGCCCCAAAACAAAAACAAACTAGATATACAGATTAATGGAATGAATGGAGAGATCAAAAACAAAAGCATGCATATAGGGACAACAGACTAACAAAGGAATCAAGGCTTACAGTGGACTATGGAAAGCCCCTTTAGAAAGTAGTGCTAAGATAACTGGTTATCAACATACAAAAGAATGAAACTGGATCATTATCTCATACTATAAAAAATTAACTCAGGACCAGAGCAATAGTACAGTGGGTAGGGCCTTTGCCTTCCATCAGCGTTTGATCCCAATCAGGGTTCTCACATCCCATATGGTCATGCCCTACCTCTCCCCACCCCCCAGGCCACTGTCAGGAGTAATTCCTGAGTGCAGAGATAGGAGTATCCCCTGAGCATTGCTGAGTGTGACCCAGTAAGTCAAAAAGAAAAAAAAAATTAACTCAAAATGGATTGGAGACTTGGCTATAAGACTAAAATTATTAAAAATTAAAAAAGAAAACATAAATAAGCTTCTTGCAATCAGCTTAGAGGCAGGGGCCTGATGCCAATGGCAAAAGCAGAAATAATTGGGACTACAGCAAACAAAAGAGCTAAATAGTAGAAGAAACTTGCATCAAATAAAAAGACGTTCTGATGAATCAAAGATTTGCACATCATGTCACAGAACAAGTCAATATCCAAAATGCACAAAGAACTCATAAAAACAACAAATTTTATAATGGACAGAGAATCTGAATAGAATCTTCACAAAGATACATAGGTGGCTTATTGGCATATGAAAAGATCATTATTTCTTTTTTACTACGAAAAACACATCTAAACAATGATGAGCTATCACCCCAATGATAATAAACTTATCTATGTGCTCTCTATGTGCAGATAAGTCACTGACAAAAAGCATACATTTCATTTTCTTATATATGCACAAAATATCTCTCCATTGATAAAAATTTAAACACTAGCTTCCACTAAACATGACACAGGCTAGATGGGACACTTTCCAATATACATTCCATACTTTTCCAATGTTATACTGTGAGACTTTAACATTTTTATTTTTAATGCAGGAGTACTGCTTTTATTCAGCCACTGGTTAGCTGATTGAATTGTGCATGAACTCCACCTTACTTATTTTTTTTATTTTTTATAATTTTATTTATTGAATCACCGTGAGAGCAGTTACAAAGCTTTCGGGTCCAAATCTCGGTCATACAATGAAACACCCATACCTTCACCAGTGCCCATTCTCCACCACCAAAAATCCCAGTATACCCCCATCCCACACCCTCCCCCTGCCTGTGGGGCAGATGATTTCTACATTACCCTCTTTTTACTTTGATCACATTCAATATTTTGACACCAGACCCACCATTATTATTTGAGATTTTACCCCAACACTCAGATCTGCTGAAAAGACAATTTGTTTTCTATTGCTGGTTATGAATAACATATGATGTCGCATGGCTACAGTAGTGGCCGCGCGATTTTGAAAATCCAAAATTTTAACACTTAAATCTGGAGGGATTTCTGCCAAAACCTGCTGGGTTCCAAGGTTTGCTCCTGAGTCTCTGGGATCGTGGCCAGCTTGATCAGGAGCCAGAAAGGCTGTTCGTGGGCGATGACTTGGGGTCTCGTTGGGACGGGGAGGACAGGACCAGATCCACCCCCATCCTGTGAGGCCCAAAATGTCTCATCACTGCGGGCCCAAACCTGACTGTCCAATGGCCTCTGAAGGATGACGGCCACTGAGCCGCAAGGCGGGAAGCAGGCGGAGGGACAACACCCTTTCCCCCCCCCTCCCCCCCCCCCCGGGGGTGGCCCAGCGACAGTAACCTACTGTGGGGTTCGACGCATTTCTGCCAAAAGCTGCTGGGTTTCAAGATTTGTTTCTGAGTCTCTGGGATCACGGCCGTTAAGCAGCTTGATTAGGAGCCAGAGAGGCCACTCGTGGATGATGACTTGGGGTCTCATTGGGACGGGGAGGACAGAACCGGCTCCACCCCCATCCCGTGAGGCCCAACAAGTTTCATCACTGCGGGCCCAAGCCTGACTGTCCAATGGCCTCTGGAAGATGGCACCCACCAAGCCACCAAGGGGAAGCAGGCGGAGGCACAGCATCCTTTCCCCCCTGGGGTGGCCCGGCGACAGTAACCTACTGCAGGGTCCAGACACATTTCTGCCAAGAGCCACTGGATTTTGAGATTTGTTTTTGAGTCTCTGGGCTCATGGCCGTTAAGCGGCTTGATCAGGAGCCTGAGAGGCCAATCGTGGGCAATGTCTTGGGGTCTCGTTGGGGTGGGGAGGGCAGGATCAGCTCCACCCCCATCCCATGATGCCCTGCGTGTCGTCACTGCGGGCCCAAATCTGACTATCCTCTGAAGGATGACGGCCACCAGACGCATTTCTGCCAAAAGCCACTGGGTTTTGAGATTTGTTTCTGAGTCTCTGGGATCATGGCCATTAAGCAGTTCAATCAATAACCAGAGCGGCCATGCCTCCAATTATATAGCTGAGCCAGAGGTGGTTTGTGGGTGTGTCTCCCACATACCTAACTTTTGGCTGTTTACTTTCTTCGTAAACTTTGCCCCAAATTTTTCGGGTCTGGCCAAAGGCACAGCAGCAATTTTGGGGTATCTGGAAGTCTGAAGGCGCCATCAGGCTGCTGATAAACTCACCTCACAGGTACAGATTGACCTGCTGGCGGCACCAGCCCCCCAAGACTTTAACATTTAATCAAAAAATAAATATAGTTTAGGCAGGGATATAGTTTAGTGGTAGAGCAGTTGCCTTGTGTGTGTGAGGCCCTGGGTTCAATGCCCTATATTACAAAAACAGAATTTAAAACAAATAATATAACTTAAAGGTTTTTTGTTTTGCCTTGGTTTTTCTGTAGGCCTCATGCATACCAGGCATGAACTTTATCACTAAGTCACTTCCCCCAAATAAGTATAATCTTAATTTTAAAAATAATTACAAATCAATTAATAAGCCATTAAGTCCAAAATAAAGCTATTAACTTATTGATGGGGCTTCATAATACATCATTTGGAATACTGTAGCACTGTCTTCCCGTTGTTCATCGATTTGCTCAAGTGAGCACCAGTAACGTCTCGCAACAATATGTCATGGGGAGCTTGCCAGGCTTTGCTGTGCAGGCGAGATATTCTCAGTAGCTTGCCGGGCTCTCCGAGAGGGGTGTTTGGATATACACAGTTTTCAAATTAAATGTTAAATATCAGCTCCACATACTCCCTAACCAGGTAATAATCACTCTGTAACAAAATTAAGAGCTAATTTTCATCTTGCTTTCGTAGAGAAGGATCCAGTGCAATGACTTGTCTTTATTGGAAAGAAAAAACTTTATAACACATAATAGTGCAGCAGCTCAGAGGGCCAATTGGCAGGACACCAGCCTGTAATAGGCTCCAGAGTTAGTGCACTGCTAAATTTCATTTTTGTAAAACCAGAAACAGATGATGGCACTGTTGTCTTTTTCCTTTGCAGCCTAAAGCAACGGTGCCTAAGGCTGGCTTGGGGCTAGCATACGGGCAGAGTCCTTTACACACAGCCATCATCTAGTAACTTGCTTGTCAAGATTAAGAATGTCAACTGCAGAGAACACTGGCTGTTCTGGGACCTCAGTCTGTGGTCACTTAAGAGTTTGTATGGGCAGCACATCAGCTTCACAAAATAACTCTGCCTTGATATTGATATTGATAGATATTTGCTACCATAAGACATGAAGCTATAGAAACCAATTTTGTCCACCTGTTTCATCCCTTACATTACCAACTATCAGTCCTCTGGTACTAGAAAAATCTCATAATGAACTGTGTATCAAACAACAAAACAGGTAACCTGATGCTGATTAAACAGAATGTATCATACAGTCCTGGGCACCCACCCTACAAGTATGCTCACACTACTTGAGAACTTTATGACAAAACTCTGAAATGAGAGGATTCATCAATATATTTATGACTTTAAGAAGTAATCAGAGCAGGGACTGGAGGTGATAGTACAGCGGGTAGGGCATTTACATTGCACGCGGCCAACCGGGTTCTATTTCCAGCATCCCATAAGGTCCCCTAAGCACCGCCAGGAGTAACCCCTGAGCACTGCCGGATGAGATCCCTTCCCAAAAAAAGTAATCAGAGCAGTATCAGGAAGTACATGTAAGAGGAAAATAGGCAAACACAGCTTCTATGTTTTAGTACAAAATAATGCTTCCTAATTTTAAATGATCTTAAGATATGAGAAACATCTATCCATAGTAAATGCATTTAGGCAATTTTGTTTTGTTGCTGGTTTTAAAACTGGCTTATCTTTACCCACCTTTCAATCTGCTGATAATAAATATTCAGCTTGAAATTCTAGTACTATACTATTCTCTCATCTTTTGCAGAAGCATGGATGTTAGTCGTGATATGTCATAATCTGTTACAATATTATACTGACCTATATTATACTATTTAACCATTACCCAAAATTGTTTATTGCATGTACTTTATAACCACATACTGCATATAGCAATTTCTCCTGAAATCTGAGTGTTCCTTGGAAAAGATGACTACAGAAAAGCTTTGTTAAAAGAATTGAGCAGCAATTCCTCAACTCTGATGGTTCAAGAGCAATATGCTGAAAGGACCAGTAAGATGCATCTCAAATTAATTTACTACTCTTAATGCTGTAACAAAGCTTATGAATGATTTATGTTTAAAAATCAGCACAGGGCTGGAGAGGTAGAGTGATGAACTGGGGAGCAGAATTTGCTTGCAGGAAGCCTACGTTTAATCCCTGGCATTCAATGATCACCTCCAGAAATGACACCCATCCACTCAAATCCCCAACTACAGAAGTTGGAATAGGCCTTACGCACCATGAGGTGTGGCCAAAATAAAGGGGGAAAAAAAAAAGAAATTTAAGATTATTGCTATGGTTTTAAAATTTTCATTTACTTTCATTACTATGGATTTTCTCTCATGGCAGAAAAAGTTGAGTTACAAATGATAGAATACTTATAATTTTTCCCTTTATAAATTATTTTTATTGTTTATGGCTTGTAATTTTTAATATTTTTCCATTTCCTTTTGAGTCTGACCTAAATATAAAATTAAAATGCATGAATAATGCACTCAGACTTGCAATTTCATTATTATTGCAATGTTTCTATGACTGTTACTATAACTGTAGAACAGATACACAATTGCCCAATAGAAGGGGCTGGAGAGATGGTCCAGTGGGTAAGGTGCTTCCCTTGCACATGGCTGACCTGGGTTTAATCCCTGGCATTCCCAAACTAGGAGTAAGCCAAGAGCACTGGCAGGTATGCTCGCCCCCCATCCCAGTAAAGAACCCCCCCCCCAAAAAAACAAAACCAAAAAACCTCAAAGTATTGTTAGTTAAATGAACAGAGTTCAGGATTAGGAAAATTTTCAATATGGTACATCATATCACAATCAGCAACATTACCCTGAATCAGTCTGTTGCAATATCATACTGACCTATATTATACTATTAAAATTTTTTAAAATTATCCAACACTGATTGCATTAGTATTAATTCTGAATAACATTATTTTTGTTGCATATTATTTTATATTACACAAATTAGTATATTAGTAGTATATTAGTATTGGCTGGAGCGATAGCACAGCGGGTAGGGCGTTCGCCTTATAAGCGGCCAACATGGCCGACCCGAGTTCAATTCCTCCAACCCTCTCGGAGAGCCCGGCAAGCTACCGAGAGTATTGGATATGCCAGACACAGTAACAACAAAGTCTCCAATGGAGACGTTACTGGGCCCGCTCGAGCAAATCGACGATCAACGGGAGGGCCTTTACCTTTTACCTTTACACAAATTAGTTTCACATAAATTATTTCACTTGATTCTCTTAACATCTAAGTGGGAAGGGAAGAGGTAAAATTTATATCATTTTAGTTTTACAAATTACTTTTAGATTATTTTTAAGTTGTAACAAAATGAGAAGTACTAAAATTTCTCATTTACCTTTTGTCCCTATATATGCATAGTATCCCCCATTATCAATCATCAACTTACCAGAACAGAGGAAACCAACATTATTCATAAACCAGAACCACATGGCCAATAGTCCTCAATATTACATTCATTCTTGGAGTTAGAGATTTTATGATGATGGAGTTTAATTGTTGAGACATGACCAAAAATAATTAGACAGAAGCTACTTACCAAATCACAAAACTAAAGTGAGGGAACAGGAATGTGAAATTAAGTCTTTCTTCTACTCCAAAGGCCAAGTTATTTTCATTGAATATTTCACTGTAAGAGAGAAGAGCCTTATTCAGAAAGACAGTTTTAAAAGTGAGGAATGTGGCTCAGTGATAGCGCCTACATTTTCTGTGTGACATTTAAGGCTCTGAGTTCAAATCCTAGCACAGCAAAATGAAAAAAAAAAATCCCGAAAATCACAAAGTTGGTTTTGGTGATATTTATGTGTACAGAAGCTATGACTTTGTGTTTTTATTTTTGTGGACACAAGTCAGCAGTGCTCAGGAGCAAGTTCCTATGTGTGGCTTAGGGTTCACTCCTAGCAGAATTCAGGGAACCACGGGGTCCTAGGGATTGAACCTGGGCCTCCTGCAGTAAAAGCATGTACTCCACCCCTTTGAGCTATCTCTCCAGACGAGGTTTTTTCCCAAGGTTTAAGAAAATAATTATATTCTGGATACCTTTTGAGCTTCAGTATAAAATAATCCCCTTTAATAATCCCATTTAAACAATAACCATTTAGCTATATCAAAGTATTCAAATATCCTAGAACTGTTTTTATACATACTTAAAAACATTATCATTTGACCCAGTCTAAGTCAAACTTCCTCCACCCCTGTGGCCCACATGTGATAAGTGTGAGCCTGGCAGCTCACTGTCTGAGACCCCAGGTACAACAAGTGATTTTCAGCTGCACCACAACCAATTTAGTGCGTGTAAGTAAAACCAGAGTGTGAAACTGACAAGCAGCACAACCAAAGATGTTATAGGCACTGAGGTCAGAAATGTGATCCCTAATCAGTACATGTGTGACTATGACAGTGACCCCTGGCATTGCACTACAACCAGGATACAGGAGATTCCACCTTAAAACACTGCAACAAAAGGATCATGACCCCAAATGAGCAGCCCAGTCAACCTGCTGAGTATCACAACCTGGTGGGGAAGCCCTAGTGAACACAATGACAAAGCACTGTCATTACAGGAGCACCTTGGGAGCAAGGAGACCAAGCCTGTATGCGACAACCCCTACCCCCCCCCCCCCCCCACACACACACACACCAATGATTACAACATCAACAGAGAGAAGGGAAGAGGCAAAAAATTGTTTTGCCTCTGGCCAGAGAGATACCTCAATGAGCTATAGCACACACTAAGCTTTCTGAAGGCCCAGGTTCAATTCCATCATGCACCATCCCCTGAGTATCACCAAGAGTGCAGAAGGAGCAGCCCTAAGCACAGTCAGCACAAAGGAACAAAAATTTTTTTCAGCAGGGTTGGAGAAACGTTAAAGTGGTTAAGAAGTCTGCCTTGTACGTAGCTGACCTGGTTCAATCATCAGCACACAGCACAGTCCCCTAAAAACTGCAAGTAGGGTTTGCTGTGAGAGGCCCCCAGGTCACCTGAGCACTGCTTGCGTGAACAGTCCCCCCTGTCCAAAGAAATTAAGAGACAAAATTTTCTCAATACTAGGTTAAATTCTAATACAAGTAGTGGGGTTCCTCTTTGATATGCTGCAAGATGGGCTGGTGATGTGGTTAGTGGTCAAGGGCATGCCTTGAACACGTGAGTTCCAGGTTCCACGCCAAGAATTAGAGGGAAACAGAGGAAGAGCTGGGAGGGAAAAGGAAGAGAAATATAATGAAATAACTTTAAATTTAGGCAGGAAGTCAAATCCATTATTGCTTCACATACACTAGATTTCTGACATAAGAATTAAATTCATAAAAATACTCTTTTAAAATGCAAAGAAGTCTATTGTAACTAATCAATTGTTATTGAAGTGCAAAAGCATCAATTATGGGCACTTGCTGAGTTCCAATAAAACTTTACAAAAATAAAGGTATCCTGGATCTAGTCTGTGTACCAGGTTTCTCTACCTTTATTCTAAAATACTGTTTAATCCATTTCATTTGCTTATTGTATAACGGGTTGAGTTATGCTCACCACCGAAAGAGATCTGTTGAATTTTTATCTCCCAGAACCTCCAAATGCAACTCTGTTCTTAGTTTAGATGTCAAACAGGGAGGGGCGTGGCAGATATTTAATATACAATGACCAATACTGGGTTATTTAAAAAAAAAAGATACATAGGAAGAATGCCAGTGACAACAGAGGCCAAGATTAGAGCAATACTGTTGTAGGCTAAGGAAAGCCAAGGACTTAAGGTTGTGTGGGAAGGGGTATTATAGCTCTATCAGAAGCCACAAAGAGGCAGGCAATAATTCTATCCAGTCTCCAAGCCTCAGGAAATTTTAGAACAATGATTTTTCACTGCCAATCCACAGTCAAAAGGCTGTGTGTGGCTCAGTGGTGAGCTCACTTGCCTTACAGGTGAAGCCCTGAGTTCAATCCTTAGCACTGCGAAAAAGGAAAAAGAAACTTGAAAAGCACTGATTTAGTTTGTGATTATCAATATAGTTAAACTTAAGGCTATTATTCTAACATCTATTTTCTACCTATCTTTTATTCTTTTTCTATTCTTACTTTTGTTAATATCTTTAATGATTTCTGTTTTCCTTGTTGGCTTATATACCGACAGTCTGGGTTTTGTTGGCTCTGTAACTGTTTTAAGGTTAACGGTAAACATCTTAAACTAATTAGTCTACCTTTAAGTGACATTATACCATGTCTTGATAATTTAAGAGTGAAACATTATTTCACCTGTCCTGACATACTTTCAGCATACAACTTACATTTCCTTATGCTATAAACTACACATAATGTTACTATCTTATAAACTGTACTGTCATTTTTGTTCCTTTTCTTCGCTTGTTACTAGAGTGGTACAATCACATGGTGCTCGCACACTCAGCTATGGTGCTTGCTGAGGTGTGTACTCCGTTTATTTGCAGGTCTTATATACATTCTGGGTGCTGGCTATATTTGCTGGAGATCACAGTAGTGGTCACACAGTTGTTTGTGAGAGATCACACTTCCTGGTCATAATGCTCACACACTCTCAGTGGTGTACACATCAGCAATTCCACCTTGTAAGTTGTGGTGCTCAAACATGGTAGGGCACGAACAGCTGTAGTACTTCTTGAAATTACTAATAGCATAATGGCACAGCTGCCAGGATCACACCTGGGATATATGGAGGCACCAGGGATCAAACCTGCGAACTGGGTCAGAACAACAGGACAGTGGATAGGAAACTCACCTTGCATGTCATCAACCTGCAGGTGATCCCTGAGCGCAGACCCAGTAGTAAGCCCTGAGTTACTCCAGCTGTGCAGCACTCCCCCCTCATCCCCCCCCCATGAAATATACAAATAATTTTTAAAGTTTTGTATATTTGAGGCAGGGAGATAGCTCAAAAAAAAAAAAAAATCTGAGGAGTATGCACAGCATGCAGAAGCACTGGATTCAAGAGTTCTCCAGCATTCTGTTCTGTGTCTAGACACCCTGGTCTCCAGTCATCAAGACTATGTGCTGAGCCAAGATTCTCCCTATCTGTGACATGGTCTGAAAACCATTTCAAGGTAGTAAACAAGTAAAATCCTAAGGTTCGCCATATTTGCTTTCCAATTCTCAAGATCATTGAGTTTCATTATTCAGTGTCTTAATAATTATTGCTTCAAGTCTTTTTTTTATTATTGGTTTGATGCTTTGGGCAAGAGGAAAAAAAATCTTTATGTTTGTTACTTCATTTTGGCCAGAAGTGCAGGATGCAGTCATGCAGATATCAAATCAAATAAGGATTGCACAAGAAAACCACTGTCAAACCACTATTTTTAGAAAAATGGTGTTCAGAACTCTAAAGTCCTTGAAACCTTATTCTAGCAAGTGCGTCGTTTGCATGGAAAAGGCTTGGCATCAATCCCTGGCACCAATTAGTCCAAGCACATTTGGGAGCAATCCCCAGCACTGTTCCCAAAATCAAACAAACAAAAAATACATATTTAGCTTGAAAATACTAGTATGGTTAAACATGCAAAAAGCTCCAATGTTAGAGAGCATATTTATTATCAGATTAAAAATTATGATCATTCTAATACATGCAAGTATTTGATATGCTTTTAGTAAGCTATTATATATATTTACATATGTATGAATTTCATGCCTGACTTGTTTAAAAGCTTTCACTGAGGAAATGACTATCCAAGCAATAGTACTGATATAACTAACCCCAAAGTAAAAAAGTTAAGAGCTCCAGTTCATTATCTACACATTCCAGACCGATTAAATGAGAAAACAAAACTACAAGAGCAATGGAAGAAATACTAAAGTATGCTTATAATTTTAGAGCACAGAAGGTCACCTATAAAATATCACTACTTAAAAAAAATTTAACTAATTTTAAAGTACTATGATGTCAATCCATATTCTTACATAGCTTAAGATATGAAACAGTACATGTGCCAGGGATACAGCCCAGAGCTTGGCAATGAAAGTACTGTCAGCACCACCAGGAGAAAGCCTGGGCCCTGAGCTGATCCTAGATTCTGAACATCACTGGCTGTTACCCCAAAATACAAAGGAAAAAAAGAAAAAAGCCATTACAAATATAGTTAAGTCAAACATACAGCACTTGCCCTTTAAAAATTCACTGTTTAGAAAGAATATGCAGTTATACAGAGCATAAAGAATAGTCAATTCAGATGGGCCAACTTAATCTAGCCATGTCCTCTAGACAAACAAAACCAAACCAGCATACATAATTTTTGACTTTAATTGATGGTAGCATTCCAGATTATGTCACCTACAAACCAGAATCAGCCTATCTGAAACACAGCTCTGATGAATTGACTGAATGCTTTAGGATGAGGAAAGACACCAAGGGAATATCCAAGCAAAAACAGATGCACAGAAAACCAATATGAAAAGATGATTCAAAAGTAGTGATAAACCAATATACCAGAGCAATGGATGAAATTACCTTAAATAACGAGAAAATAAAATTTGAACAGGGACAGATTTATTGTGCTGAAATGGGTTCAATTCCTGCTCTGGAATTGAATAATAACCTACACAATAGACACATTTCGATGATGAAGCTCTCTTGTCAATTAGTTAACTCATTTCTATTAAATCTAGGATATACTAGGATGGAGGCCTCTGTAGCAATTGTGACAATATCACAAGTATTTCTGAAGCATTTCACAATGTTGACCAATCTCTGCTTCTTAAATTTCTATCTCCTGGTTTCTATGTAACAGTATCATGTAGCTGAATCCTTCCCTTTATCCACTTTCTTCTCTATTTAATTCTCTGCTAATTTTTTTCTCTTGACTATGAGTATACCCGAAAGTATTTGATATTTATAATTCTTTTAAAGTAACAACATCCTTGATGATATATAAAACACTATTACCTTCAAAGAATTTCAAGAATTCAGAGTCGAACCTCTTGTTGCTAAATTCCAGTTGTTTATCATGATCTTGGATATCCTGTCTCTAGCTCAAATTTAACAGTCCTGCATATTACACATTCCCATGCAGACATCTATACATAACTACACACCGAGAAAAAATTATCACAGGATAGGAGATAGTATAGGTAGGTTAAGAGGTTTGCCTTGTGTGTGGCCAACCTCCGTCTGATTCCCAGCACCAGATATGGATGGTCCCCTGAGCACAGCCAGGAGTGATCCCTGAACAGAGTTGGGAATAGAGTCTCCTAAGCACTGCCAACTATGCCCCACCTCCCGAAAATGGTAAAATCACAGTACTTATATTTTCTCCCCATCTAAAATTCTTTCTCTTCTTCAACTGCTTCAGTCATCAGGGTCTGTTTATTGTCTATTACCTACTCAATATATAACAGATCTTCTCAGTTACAATATCCAGACTTCTTTCATGTCTTTGTTCCTTCAGTCTTTCCCTTTCTACCCTCTATACCACAATCTTATTTAGACATTCATCACCTCAATTCTTAATATATTTCCCTACTAAGCCAGGGAGACAGCTCATTAAGGCTGAAGTGCATGCTTTGCACACACTGGATTCAATTCTGGCACTGCATGATCCCCTGAGCATTGCGGGGAGTGACCCCAAGCACAAACTCTGGAAAACCCTCCAAGGACTGTCAAATGTGCCCCCATTCCAATCCTAAAAACAACCTATTGGTACAGCTATACTATTCCTGTCATTCTCACTCAAATATACTATATGAAGAAATACTATATGCAGTATGATCAAGAATTCAAGAGTCTGGGGGCCAGAGATTTAGAACAGCAGATGGGGGTACTTGCCTTGCATGTGGCCCACCTGGACTTGATCCCAGAAATCCCATATGGTCCCCTGAGTCCTACCAGAAGTGATCCCTGAGCACAAGACCAGGAGTAAGCCCTGAGTACCACTGGGTGTGGCTCAAAAACAACAACACAATTCAGATTCTGAAACCATGATGTTAGTATGAATTTTGATTCTATCATGCATTAGTCACTTGGCACTGGGCAAATTAATTAAACTTTCTGCATCCATTTCCCTGCTTGTAAGAAAAAAAGGATAACAAAGTGTGCCTCACAAGGTTATAAGAATTAAGTGAATACAGGCAAAATATTCAGCAAAGAGATTGGAACCAAGGATTAGGAATGTATTTGGCTATCATAACTAATAAATCTTGGTTATTTCTTAACCTTCCCATATAGATCTCTATTAGGAGAACGGGTTCTGTTCATTCTGCCCTTAACTAAACGTTATGCAGTGTCAAGGCTGATCTGAAGTAATCCTTTGATCATCCCAACCACTTAAATGATCATGTATCTATAGTATTTTTTTTTTGTACCACCAAACAATGAACTTAAAATGCCCTGCAACCTGAAATTTTTTGTTTCTTTTTGATTTTTGGGCAACAAGGCTTACTCTGGGCTCTGCGCACTGGAAAAATCACTCCTGGCAGGTGATACTGGGACGCCATGAGAGATTGTCAGATAGTCGAGTGTCTGCAGCGTGCAAGGCAAAAGCCCTACCTGCTGCTGCTGTACTATCACTTTGCCCCTCTCCCCCAATTTCCATAAACTCTTGAACAAAGGTTCTAACACCTCAAGCATCTTGAGTTCCAAGAGTCAACAGTAGATGCTTAGCATCTATTATGTAAAAATAACACAGTAGAAAAGTCAGCCCGGATCATACTGCCTTGAGATAAATGAAAAACGGGTAATTACGACAGAATATTCCACACTTTAGGAGTCAAGAAGTAAGGTACTGACTTGAATCAAGGAATTGTAACTACAATTAAAATGAGAAGCTCTGAAGCAATTTCTGGGAGACAGAAAGGGAAAAAAAAAAATCAGCTCCGCAGGAGTTTTGAAGAATCCCAGATTCAGAAACCAAACTACAGCAAAGAGTTCCCTATGACAAAATAACTTCAAGTATAAGGTATGTATGATAGTTTTAGGTTACATAGGGAGTCTGAACCTCAATTTCTTTCTCTACAAAGTGGGTATCTGAACAGCTCTTCAGTTAGCTGAAACTCACCCTAACATTTAAATTAAGTACAAAGAAATTCTTGGGGAATCTTTACATAAACTGTAAACAATGTTTTCATATACAGAGAGCTGAAACTACCTGAGAACGTTTTTGTTCATAAGAAAATGTTTCAGTTCTCTGACAGTGGCTATATTGATTATGTACTAAATTACCTAGGAGAAAACGTAAAGGGCTTTCAATAAAAATCTTGCGATGGGGAGGTCTACAAAATGCATCCCCTTTTCCTGAACCCTTTCTTTCTTGTGATTTTTCCTTCCACTTGTGCTTAAGAAGAAAGATTCAAAATTACTCCCGAAGAGAAACAGTTGGGAAAGCACAATCCAACTTCATAGCAAGATGGTTCCGTAAAAGTGGGCTCCCGTTTATGGTTAAAGACAATTTCTCAATCGGCATTAACTGAGAGTGTAAAGGATCGTGACAGAGTCAACCATGAGCTCCTGGGACGGTGTGAAATCGGTCATTTCCTAGGAGAGTCGTTCCTAGGAGCAGAGAGTCATCTCATCTTACAGCATCTGTCCTCTGCACTGAAAGAACCAAACACTCCAGACCTTCCGGACGACAATCCACGCAGTCTGACAATTAATTATTTTAAAGTAGCATGACGGCTAGGGAGACCCCATCCAACACGCGTTCTACTCACGCCGGGGTTCCTTCCTAAGAAAAAGCAACATCCAGAGCGAGACTACCTTTTTCTGTTGTTTTTCTTTTCAACCCCTTAGCAGAGCTAAGAATCTGGGGTTGGGGTGGGGGTGGGGGGAGGCTCCTCGCCTGAAAACACCGACGCGTGCTGCACCGAAGCCCTCCTCGGCGCTGCGCTGCGGGAAGGGGCGCGGGGGTCCGCGCGCTCGGGGCGCAGGGGGTGCGGGACGCCAGAGCGGGCGTTCGCCCGCCAAGTTCCGCCAAGGGCCGAGATGCGGGGGAACTCGCAGCCCCGACGCCAGCGCGACGCGGTAACTGCGGGGAGTCGGCTCCGGTGGGGAAGGGACAGGAACCTCGGCTGGGGCCGATGCGGGGTTGGGACGGGGAAAGGAAGCGGGGGCGGGGCTGGGGGCGTCTGGTACGCGACCAGGGGCACGGTCCAGCGAGGGAGTTCGGGGGGCTTCGAAGGGCTGGATAAGGGGAGGTGTGGGGAGTGCTCCAGAGACAGAAATCGAGGCGGCAAAAGTTCTGGAAGTCCAGTTCGGAAGCGCGGAAACGGGGGGAGGGAGGAATGCGGGGATTTCCAGCCCCGGGCGCGCGCGCGTCCGAAGGGTGCGAGGTGGGGGGGGGGGGGCGGCCCTCGAGCGCTAGGACTCCACCACACACACACACACACACACACACACACTCACACACACACTCGCCCAGGCAGGCCCTTAGCCTCCTCCACCCGACGCGGCCCTTCCTTCGTGCGATCGCCGCCCCTCCTCACCTCAGGCCGCGGCAACCCCGCTCCGCGTCTCCACGGCGTCACGGCTCCCTCGGCGCCCAGCCGGGCCCCGTAGGCCGCTCAGCCGCGGACTCTGGCTCGCCAGCGGCCGGACTCCGACCGCGCGCCCCCGCTTCCCCTCTCGGAGGTTCGCCCCGGGCTCCGATTCGCTCCCGACGACTCCCCGCACACCCGGCGCGCGCTACTCCGCGTCGGGAGCCGGGTTATGCGCTCCCCCTCCCTCCCCCGACCCCGCCCCGCGGCGCCCGGTGCCGCGCCCAGCCTCCGGATCTCAGGTCCGTGCGCTGATTGGCTGCAACCGGAGCCGGCGCGTCTGAGCATTGGTCCAGCGGCCGGCCGACGGCGAGGGGGCGGGACTCGAGGAGGCTATTCCCGTAACGCGTCTCCCAGCCTCCCGGATTCTGGCGGCTGCGCCCGCGTCGCCGCTCCAGACTAGATCGAAGGCTTCCCCCACCTCCCCTTTGCGGGCAGCAGGAGCGGAATGTTCCGTTTCCCCGAGGCATAGCGGGGTCGTGGACCGACGTCCGGGTGCTCTGCCGGCTTTCTCGTGCCGGCTCCCGAGGCCTGGCTTCGCGGCCTTGGCCGGAGGACGCGGCCGCCGGGGACCGTCGCGCTTCCTCTGGGGACTGCGGAGGCGGAGGCGCATCGCCGCGAGAGGGGCTCGGCGGCTCCGCGGCGGTCGCCGCAGACTGTGGCTTCGGTTCAGGTGTTATGTAAACGAACCTGGCCACGTTTTGTGTTTTGAAGTTAGCAAGTGCGTCGGGGTGCGATTGATCCGTGAACCCGAGACCCGCCAAGGAACTACTTTTGAGTTGCGGTTTGCACTTCTCCCTCACCTATGTTTTGGAGGGAGGGAAGGAAAAAAAGATCGAGGCAAACCCCATTCGGGGATAGGGTACCGCCCACCCATTCTGTCCCAGCCTGGAAAATGGACCACTTGATGAAATAGCTTTTATGTGTGGAGAACCTGATCACGATTTCCAAAGCAAAGCTGTATGTGTGTGTGTGTGTGTGTGTGTGTGTGTGTCTACTACTTGTGTGTCAAGGGGTGTGTTAAACTTGATTCTATGTATGTGTGCCATTTGTGTGTGTGGGAGAGGGAGAGGGAGAGGGAGAAGGAGAGAGAGAGGGAGGGAGAGAGAGAGAGAGAGAGAGAGAGAGAGAGAGAGAGAGAGAGAGAGAGAGAGAGAGGAGATGTATTATTCCCTTGGGGGAAACATTAATTTGAGGATTCCAGTACAGTGGACTACAACTCAGACCACATTGTTTGAAAGGCAGAAAATGAGTCTGTAATTCGGCAGTGTGTCAAGTGTTATAGGAGTCGCTGGCAAACTTAGGCAAGTGCTGCAGGAGAGACAGAGCTCCACTGAGTTCTCGTCATCCAGTGTCTCACCTGCAGCCTGAGGGTTGGATTCTAGTTTGGTTGTCCTATACAAGGTTGTTTTCTCCCCGTCCCCCGCCCCCCATCCCCACTTCTTTAATACTGTATTGAATATATTTAGATCTAGTCAACATTTGTTTAGGGACAGTATATAGTTAACTGTACTTGGTTCTGAATCGCCTGGTTCGAATCCCAGTGCTGCTGCCTTTGATATCTGTGCCCTAAGGTAGGTTTTCATTTGTAAAGTGAGAGTAACTGTACCAACCTAAGAGGATTGCTGAAGGACTAAATAACTTCATGAAATGCTTATTTATATAATAGGTGCTCAGTAAACTTCAGCGTTATTACATGGAATAGCTCTAAGTGCTTCTCAATTTTTTTTCTGTTAACACATATTAAAAATGCTATTTCTCTGGGATTGGAAGTCATCAGAGGGGATGTATATCTCACAGAACAATCTGTGCCTTTCATGCTGTTCAGGAAAGCAAGAAGCCTGAAATCCATTCTTTGGTGTTTATCTTTGTATTGACTTAGCTCAGCAGCAAGAATCCTCTTTGTGGAGATTAAAGTCCTAGGTTGAAAGAATGAATCAATGTTGGAGAAAGAGTTTTCAGAACGGCAGAAGCCTTTCTTCATTTTGTTGAAATCACATGCTCTGCAGAACTGTAGGGTACTGGCCTAAAATGACCATTTTTGGATTATGGATTCATCACTTTAAGAATCCTATTAATCCTATTAATTAAATCCTATTAATGGGATTAGAAAGAGCATAGCGGACACCTTGCTCATGGGCTACCCAGCATCCCTAATGGTCCCCTGAGCACTGTCAGGAGTGATCCCTGAGCACAGCTGGGAGTGTTCCCCCCCCCAAAGAAAAATAAAATATTGTTAAGGGCAGGACAGAGAGAACTGAAATCTAGTGCTCGCCTTCCATACAGTTGACCTCTGTTTGCTCCCCTGCATGGCATATGGTCCACTGGGTACACCCTTGGGTGCCATGAGGGGTGACTCCTGAGCACAGAATCAAGAATGGCCACTGACCAAAGTGGGGTTAGCCAAAACCCCTTCCCCCCAAATAAAAAAAATTAAAATCCTGTCAAAATGCAATGGTAAGGGGGGACAGTGGTGGGGAGTGATATTAATCACATATATTAATCACATATATTTCCACCCATGACCACAGCTCATTTAGGATTTTGGTTATGTTGCAGGCTGATGGGGGAAAGCTAGAGCAGGAAGACTGTAATATGAGTGCACAGGTTACTTGAAAATTTTTTTAAAATAGGGGGTGCCATAGAAAAGGTAAATTTTGTTGTGTTTGGGCCATGTCCAGCAGTTCTCAGGGCTTACTCCTGTCTCCATGCTCAAGGATCACTCCTGGTGGTACTCAGCACCATATGCAGTGCTGGGAATCAAACCAGAGTTGGCTGCTTGCCTTGCTCATGGTTCTGTTTCTCTGACTTCAAATAAGGTGTTTGCTAACAAAGGTGATTATTAAGAAATTTTGCCTATCATGCTAGTTGTATAAATCTGCTCCTGAGGAGGATAACCATATACATTCCCTTGCTGGTGCCAGTTGTGATTCTGAAGTCTGGGTCAGCCCTAAACTATCCCTACCTAATGGTTTCAGCTTCATGATAGTGACTCGGTGCCTTGACCTCATGATTGTTCATCTTCCTCTAACAATATCTTCATCCTCACTCTAAGTCGGACACCCACAGAGTAGACACACCTTGACCCCAGTCACCAGAAGAAATTACTAGTCTAAAATTGAAATTTTGAATTATGTTTTGTCCACTGGAGCTACCTACTCCTTTTGTTTCTTTCTCATAGAATCTGTAATTTGACCCGAGGTGATCCCTAATTCTTTTCACAAGTTTATCAGTTATTTTCTACAAGCTCTTATCTTCCTAAACAGCAGCACCCTTTTATCAACCATTTAAACTGCTAAGTACCTTCAGTCCCCTTGACCTTCAGCTCTATTTACCTTGTCAAGGCTACTTCCTATTTCCCCTTTTCCTTGAGCAATCAGCCCCACCCCTCCATTTATTCTTATACAATCTTGTTTTGTTATTCCAGGATAAAACCAAGATCATCTTTTGTGAACATTAGCTTTCCTTCCTATCTCTTTCCCACTGACTCAGAGTAAGAATGATCCTTATTCTGTTAAAATATTTCATCTTGGACCAGAGAGATAGTTCACTGGGCTGAGTGCATATTTTGTGGTGGGTAGCATGGGTCCCATCCCTAGAATTTGCATGATCTCACCATTGCCAACAAGCAGTAGCATTCTAGCATTTCAGAGTGTGCCACTCTCAACCAAAGGAAGATTCCTTGGTCCCTATGTTCTTGATCCTATTAATACTATATTTAGTCCCCTAGCACAACCGGTAGGGCGTTTGACTTACACGTGGACAACCCGGGTTCTATTCTTCTGTCCCTCTCGGAGAACCCAGCAAGCTACTGAGAGTATCTCATCTTCAAGGCAGAGCCTGGCAACTCCCTGTGGCATATTCGATATGCCAAAAGCAGTAACAACAAGTCTCACAATGGAGACGTTACTGGTGCCCGCTCGAGCAAATCGATAAACAATGGGAGGACAGTGTAACAGTGATACAGCATAAAATAATTTCAAATGAGCTCGAGACATAGAACAGCTAGTAAGGTGCTTTCCTTGCATGTGGCCAGCCTAGATTTGATCCCCAGTACCACTTATGGTCCAAAATAATTTTTTTTTAAAGAGAGAGAGAATGTTAGGAGTTTATCTGTAACCCAAAGAATTGTGTCATAGTAAAAAATAATAAAGCTAAATTAGCTCAACTTTCAAATTATGCAAATTATGCATTTTTTTGCTATAAGCAGGTATGATAGGCTAGCTTTTAGTTTTTGTTATTTTGTTGTTGTTGTTGTTTGGGGGGTTGTTTTATTTTGGGTTTGAGGCTACACCCAACTGTGCTCAGAACTCACTCCTGACTCTGTGCTCAGAGATTACTCCTGGTGGTGCTCAGGGGACCATATGAGGTGCTAGGGACTAAACATGGGTCAGCTATGTGCAAGACAAGCTCCTTATCCACTGTCATACCTCTCCAGCATCAATTTGCAGTTTGATAAGACATACTATGTACTAAGGAATGATAGACTTTAACAGTGAATATTGTGAGCTCCTACTTACTAGTTTCTTTGTGTGATTTCCTCTTCCCAGGAGTGAACAGTTGCACAGTGACTATGTTACATAAGAGTATAGTAACCATCTTGCTCATATCTCTCTCTTATTATATCAGAACCCCATTGTGGATTTGAAAAGATTTAATTGTCATGTTATAGCCTCTATGTTATTGAGATTATAATGTTTATCTTGTGAGAGGGCAGACATTGCTGGCTTTGATGAAGCAAACTGCCCTATTGTGGGGGTCTACCTGGACAGATGTCATGTTAAGGAACAGAGAATAGCTGCTAGCCAACAGCTGCTAACGAACTGCAGCTATGCAATTTACAACCTCAGGAAACTGAGTTGGGCCAATAAAAGCAGATGCTGCCCCAATCAAGCCTCAGATGAGATCGAATGCCTAGCCAATAGACTGACTACACTTCTGCCTAATAGGGATTGAGATAATAAATATATATTGGCTTAAGCTACCAAGTTTATAGTAATTTGCTGTAGTAATAGAGCAGAGAAATAGTTACGGGGATAATGCCCTTGCATTACTTGTCCCAGTTCGAATCCCCGGCACCACATATGGTCACCCAAGCACCACCAGAAGTGATCTTTGAGCACAGAGCCACGAGTGACCTTGAGCACCAACAGTTGTGGCCCAACTC